GAGCACAGTCTGGCCGACCTTCTCTTCCACACGGAGACCGAGGTGGACGGGAGGCGCAGCCCCGCATGGGAGCAGTAGCTGACGGCTCGCGACGGCTCACGACGGCTCACAACGGCTCACGACGGCTCACGACAGCTCACGACAGCTCAAGACGGCTCAACACGCTCATCACCACCGTAGCCGTCCGGGAGTCTCGCAGCGCACTTGGAAGAGAAGCGGTCGTAAGAGCGTGGGTGCGGGGGGGGGGGAAGTGCTGCCCCACCCAGCGCCTTTATTGGGAGTTGTGACCTCATAAGTTTCAGTTCAAGCGTTTGGGGGTTCAGGGGAAGCGAGGCACAAAGCAGAAAGGGGAATGACTGTGGAAGGGCTGGATTACTTTAGGAAGTAGGTGGTGAAGGGAAACGGGCGAGAGAATCCCACTTGGGAGGAATAGGTCATAGGGCAAGCGGGACCGGATGCTGAACCTGTGGTGCATTTTTGTATTTTGAGAAGAGACTTTGTGCGCCGTCGGCACTTATAGTGGACTAAGGTAGGCAGATGCGGGAGAGAGCGGTGCTCGGTATGGGCTTAGCTTAGAGGGATTGGTGTCTAGATGGGAGAGATGGGGATTAGAAATTAAAGTCAGGTACATCGATTCAGATCCTTTTCCAAATAAGTGGCAGGTCTGGCTGGCTGAACGCAGGTGCAGGTGCTCCTGGGAATGTAGTTGAATTGTTTAAACCTCATTTATCGGTTACCTTCCAATTTCAGATTTTTTTGTGATTCTCTTCTGAAATGACTGTGTTGCCTTAATTAGTAAAACGTGAAAGATAGGCCAACCTTTCCAACAGATGACTTGAACAAAAAATGTCTTGTGAAATACACGGGAGTTTTAATGTAGTCCGTGCAACCGTGCACTATTAATGTGTGCCTACTGGCGGTTTAGCTATTAGCTTAGCGTAACTTATTCACTCACGGAGGGGGGGGCAGTCATTTCAGAGTCAAGTTTTAATTTCACTACGTAGGGTGTTGCTGTGCTCCCTCTGACACAGGTTTGCGCTCCAGCTGCCTTGAACAAGGGAGGGTTTCATTGACAGATACCTCATTTCAGTTTAACATTACGTTTCCTGCTACTACAATGGCTGTACTGTTACTGAAAATCTATGTATTTATTGATCCATGTAGACTACAGTGCTCGGTTATGAGATACCTGTAGCAGCACACGCATCGCCAGGCAACATTTTTACTTGTAGGCGTTTGCCGAAGTTGTGCAACGTCCTCCGTCTTCTGTTTAAAAAAGGCTGCAGTCTTGAATGTCTTATGCGCTTCAGCATTAACAATTAAACATTAAAGTGTGAGCTGTATTGAGAGTAGCCAAAGATAAGCCTTTGCTAGTATTTGTACATTGGTGTTGAGCTGTTTGGGGAAGCCCTCTCGGACGGCAGAACTCTTCTCTGTCCCTTATCCTCAGACTGTTGTATATACAGTAGTAGCATTATGTTTCAACCACCGCCAACACGGTTTCATACAGGATCCACAAAGTTGTCTGGTAGTCGGGTCCCCCTAGTTTAATTAAGTAATGGGATTGGCGTTCCAAGTAGCAGTGTTAAGCCAATTTAAACAAAACCTGGTATTGTAAAAAGTATATACATTTCATTGAGTGTCGCTGGTAATAAGTCTGACTATGGGGAGATATGTGAAGGCCTTTTGTTTTTAAGATGCAACCACCATTGTATTGTCTGAAATATGTTGCAGTGCCACGACAGCCTCTATATACATCTTTTTAAAAACACTTAATAGGGCAGGTGAATTTCAGGTTATGTCCCAATTGACGCTGCAGGCTTAGCACGTGGAGCGCGTTTGCCCGTGTTGTCTGATTTTAAAACGTTGGGGTGCAAGACCGAACGTGCGATCTGAGCGTTGAAAATGTTCTGGCATGCCTTGTTGCCTGAAGCGACCCTTGGGATTTAACCCAAACATGTCGCATGCCCAACCGGCAAATGTTGTGCGACCATCGGTGCTTCTGTTTTCCATTTGCCTGGGTTTTTATTACGAGCAAGGGAAACCTCGGAGGTCCGAGAGGGCGTGTGTCTTGGCAGCCGCCGCCAACTTGTAATGGTCTGCCAGCGCAGAAGCAGGGCTGCAGTGCACGGTGCTGGCCTTGCCGACGCGCATTCCAGCGTCATAGTGTTACGCAGTCTGCGACTTAGCAGTGTCTAACTCTTCCATGTATTATATTGGTGGTGTATTTGAAGGTCACCAGGTCACAATGAAGTAAGGTAGTGTGTTTTTTTTAAATGCGTTCGCGTACACGTTACTACTGTTGTACACTATTCAGGTGTCGATTATGGCTGTCTTGTGTGCATTTTTGCTGAGCGTAAAATGTCGATGTTGAAATGAAACAGTTGCCTCAACATAAGTGGTCCAATAATGTACTTTTGCTTAAAAACGCACAAAGTGAAATAAACGTGAGCAGATGGAGAACACAAGGAAATGCCTGGCGTGCTGGCTGGTGGTGTTTCAAAGCAGTGGTTCTCTATTCCAGCTCTCACGACAGTGGTATGGCAAAACAACCCATGCAAGATGAAAGGAAATTACCGTAATGCCATTTATGTATCCAGGTAAGTATCATTTGAATCTCAGGACTTTTTCCAGGACGGCCCTATACTTGGATGTTTATTATTTTGCTTTTGAAGGTGAGCCAGAGGTATCTGAAAACACTGCATTTGAGGGGATAACTTGCAAACATGAACTGCATATACTGTACGTTATAAACCTACTTGCTGCTCTGCTATGAAGTAGCTGCCTCCTTTAATCTGCAGATTGGGATACTTTGTACATGCTGCTCTATGCATAATCCACCAACCCTACAACCTCCAGAGCATCTGATTCCAGCTGTGCGCCTCCATGCCTGACCAAAGGGGCTCCCCAGCACGACTACTGCTGGTATTACTGTTGGTGGTGATGATATTCTTGTTGGTGATGTTATTCCTGCTGACGCTGCTACTGTTATCACGGTTCGTGGTGCTGTTTGTGCTGCTACTGGTGTTGCTGCTGTTGCTACACCCATACACGTGGCCCGACCATGGCCAGGGGCGGACCTGGGGAGTCATCGGAGCCTCTCCCTCCGTTGCCACACCCTGCACAGCTGTTCAGCCTAAGTGGATTAAAAGGTAAACACTCCACAAAACAGCTCTTACAGTGTAGATTCCTGTCCAACGCCGTGCGTCCAGGGTTGTCCAAGAAAATTGTGAGGCTTTGTTTTTCGAAAATATTAAAAGCATGGCCGAGGCACTCTGATCAGCAATCTGTTGACACGATTGACATTGGATTCAACGTTACGTTTGTGAGTGATGTCTTACTCTCTTCAAGTCAGGTGAAAGTGTCCAGCAATTGCTTCTGCCACTGCTGGTGGATGTGCCTCAATGACGGGACGCTAGTGTAGAGAGCCCGTATCGGTATTTTTAGCCGACTTTTACATACTGGCCCAGATGTCTGGAAACTAAGTGAGAAATACCCATCAAACGCAAGTTGCCCATGGTCTTAACTCTGCTTCTTAACTTTGGGTGTACGCACCCCCCTCGGGATCCGAGGACATGGCAACATTTCTTCGAAGGTAAATAATCGAAACAAATTAAGCAGGGGCACATAAGTACAACTACTTTGTTTCATCAAATTTAGGTATTTACATTATGCTTGTTTTAAAGATTGAGACCCAAGGTCGTGCAACGCTGCAGTAACGGTTAAGAACTACTGCTCTAACTGGTGCGTTCCGTTTATCCTGCTGGGTGGACAGGCAGGGGGCGGAGTGGCGGTAGAGGAATAACCTCGCACCATTTTTTAAACTGCCGTGCCGGGAGATCGAATTTAACTGACGACCTGTGGATTGCAAGTACTTTACTGTGCTCTCTGGCAGCAACCAGGTTAAGAATGTAGTTTAATTGAAACGTAATTTACACGGTAAACTTGCTGTACCTCCATGGTGGAAAGGCAATTTCCATCAATACCTGGCAAGAAAAAAAAACCCTGACATTGTCATCGTAATTATTTATGCCAAGTAAACTTTTTTTTTTACGCCAAATGCCCGGAAAAGTGACTTCCACCAGCGCATGAATGAGGGGTCCTGTGAACAGCCACGCACAAACACACCCCCCATACATTCCCTGCAGATGAATCGCTTTAATTGGACCAAGTAAGTGGGGTGCGTGTGAGTGAGTGAAGGAGTGCGTGCTGGGAATGACATTCATTGGCAGTCCAACTTAATCGGAGCAGACCTGTCCACCCACCGACAATTTTGAACCGGGGTTGGTGAATCGCACAGAGATAGCCCTATACTGTTAGCCTCCCATCAGGTGGTCAGGTAATAGCAGTACAGCAAGTAGGTATCATTTATAGCACAGTACGTATATGTATAAGTGGATTTGAGTTATCCCATGGTGTGCGTGGGGTTTTCTCCCGGTACTCGGCTTCTTCCCACTTGCAATCGAGTCATGATTTAAACGGACTTTTGCCAAACTTCCCACTGTATGTAGGGCTCTAAAAAAAGCGACGAGTCTCAATCCCATTGCAGATTATTTGACCTTTTAAAGTCCGTCTCCCTGCTCAAACGAGCAACGGGATGCAGCCTGTTTCTGCTGGTGGCGCTGAGCCAGTGGTGGAAATTCCACATTCCTATGGCAGGGAATAGATTTGTGACATTGCAGTTGTCCTGGTTTACATAAAGGACGATGAATAAAATACTGTCAAGGGCTGCTGTCCCTGCAGGGAGACGTGAGGAAGGTAGAGCAGGAGTAAGGCGAAGAGGGAGGCTGTCGGGCGTTAAGACAGAAGGCCGGGGGAGAGCCACGGACGGAGGGAGCCACGCTTGTATTGTTACAAGTGAAACGCGGCTGAACTTGCTTTAAATGGCTCCACCCTAGCCGAGTTCATACCTCCTCAAACGGACCAACTACGATCAAAACACGGAAGGGCAGGGGAAGAGGAGGCGCAGGAGGGGGGAGGAGGAAATTAATTGAACGACGTTGGATGGAGGCGAGGCGTGGATTCGGGGACTGGGGGTTGAGACTGCCTCTTCCTCCTCCCTCGACTACGCCAAGACGGGAGGAGCACACAGCTCCATCTGGGGCTGAGCCAGGCGACGTCGTCCTATAGAGAGTTCTGCACTCCGAGCTCTGAGTCAGTAGGGGAGAAAGCGGCACGTAGGAAGCAGAAAGTTACAGCTGTGCCGAGCACGCACGGCGTAGCAATCGTAAGCGCAGTGGTGCCTGCGGACGGCGACGAAGAGGGGAGGCGGAGGAGCGGAGGCGATGGATAACTCCCACGCTAAAGAAGTGCAGGAGGTGCTGGCCCATTTCGGGGTGGACGAGAGCAAGGGGCTGTCGCAAGACGAGGTGGTGATTCTGCGAAAAAAGCACGGTCCCAACGGTGGGTGAGGTGTCCGTGCGTGCGTGGGTGGGTGGGTGCGTGGGTTCCTGCACGGGTGTGTGCGCGTACAATTGGTGTGTCACTTTCGACACGGTGTGTGCAAGCGTGCGCGCGTGTTACCCTTCGTCATGACTGCGCGTGTCCTGCACGGGTGTGCGCGTGCTTGCGTTGACGCGAGCTCAAATCCCGGCAGGGAATGTCAAGAGCGGTTGACGGGCTCTCGTCATGTGAATGTGGAATTCCCGCCGTCGAGTTCGAGGCGAGGCCGGAAACCTCCGTCTGAGTCTGGGGGGGGGGGGGGACACTCTCTTTGGCTCTCTCTCTCGAGTTGTTTACGAGTCAAAGTGCGAGCGCGTGCGATGGCGCTCTGTGTGCATGAGACGAGTATGGGGAGCGGTGGCGCGGTGGTTAGCGCACTGCGCACGACGAACCCGTCGACCTGAGGTCAATTCCAGGCCACGGGCCAACCTCGCTGGCGAGTGATGTCTGAACCCGAACTGGGCCTCTCCTCGGTCTACTCGGCCTTAAAACGAGTGCCTGGCGCGGTGTGTGAACATCAGCATTGGGGAGACAAAGGCGGCCGGGCATGGGGCTGGCCACCCCACACGCTCGTGTGTCTTCCCGGCCTTCATAGGTGCTCGCTAATAGCACTTGCCTCAACAGTCTGATAAAGCTATACGGGGAGTTTTTGTGGTATGTACGTGTGGCTGTGTGTGTGTGCTGCGTTTGTTGTAGCTGCGTAGATCTTTGCGCGTGTATTTGGGTGTGTATACGTGTTGGTGCGTTGCTGACCACCCACCCACCCACCTCCTCTTACGCCTTGGCAGCCTTAATAGTCGCTTACTCACAGCACTTGCCCCAAACAGCGTGTTAAGGCAATACGGGGGCAGTGGGAGGCTCTTTGTCTTTGTGCTTGACGAGGTGCGTTGGCGCGTGTTGGCGTGTGTGCGTGCGTGCGTGTCTGGCTTTGCCATGTCACCCCTGGGCGGGGGAGTCGAACCTGAACTCCGTGGGGCTTCGCGTCACTCAGCCTCGGGACGGGGGTGGCCGTGCGGCCACACCTGAGCGCATTCCTGGCTGACCCCCCCCCCCCAGCCACTAGCACCACGCCCTGTGTCTGTAGAGCGGGGGGGGGGGGCGACACGCGGGGGGCTCCCAGTGGCGCAGGCTTCGCTCGGGCGTGCCTGGAATGTTTGCGTGTACGTGTGAATGTGTGTGAATGTGTGTACACGCGTGCGTGTTGTCTGTGTGGGGAAGAGGGGGGGGTATCGGTTAAGCGCTGCGCTGCACTACGAACCCGGCGTCCCGAGTTCGATTCCCGCTCCACGAGCACCACAGGTGACGATTATATGAAGCGGTTCTGGGCCTCCCGTAGGTCGACTCAGCCTCGAATGAGTCGTGGGGTGTGAACATCGCCACTGGAGAGACAAAGGTGGCCGGGCGTAGTGCTGGCCAACCATCTCGTGTGCCGTTCCGGCCTTAATAGGTGCTCGCAAACAGCACTTGCCCCAACAGTCTGCTCGGGGTATGAGGGGGGGGTATCTTTTGTCTTTGTGTGTGGAGCGGTGGCGCAGTAGTTGCGCTGTGAACTCGGCGACCCGAACGGCTCGCGGCCAACATCCGTGACGAATTTCGGCACCGGTCCCGGGCCCTCCACTCGGTCGATTCGGCCTAAAACAAAAAAAAAACACGAGCACCTTGGTTGCGATGTGTAAACAAAGTCACTAGCGAGACAAAGGCGGCCGTGGGATGGACTGTAGTCCTGCCCTCGCCGGCCGTGTTGCTTTCCATGTGTGCTCGCTAACAGCAACTTGCCACCACCAACAACAACAGCAGCCTGTCTTGATTTGAAGCTTTCGTGACTGCAGGAATCCATATTCTTTGGTTCTTTCGGTAATTTTTTTTTTATTTCATATAATAAAATTTTATTTCATAAAATAAAATTTCATTTTATCAAGTATTTTTTTTATTTTATTTCTACCTACGTGACTTTACGGGAAGAGCCAAAGAGTATGAGAACAGCAGCCTGTTGTTGGGGGGGAATCTTCAGTTCTGTATTTTGGGTCCACATACACAAACCCCAAACAGACTCGAGTGAGAGTGTGTCAGTGGGAGGGTGTGCGTGTGAACGTGAGAGAGCCTTTGAATTTGACTTCACTTCAGGATGGCACTTAAAAGCGCACCTAGCCTGACACAATCGCAGTGGCGCGGGTGTATGTACACAATGCGAACATGTAGACACCGCGTATACACCCCCACTCTCCACGTATATGCATCACATACGCACAACACGATGTGTACGTTGTGGCGTGTGTGTGCTTGTGTGCGTGAGTACTGTGTGTGGTCACGTGTCTGTGTTTGCGTGGGAGTGGTGGTGCAGCGGTTAGCGCGCTGCCCTTCGAACTCGGTCACCCGAGCTCGATTACCGCTCACGCCTACCAACACCAATGAGACGATGATATGAGCCGGTCTTGGGCCTCCCCGAGGTCGACATCGCCACTGGGGAGACAAAGGCGGTCTTGCGAGGTGCTGGCCACCCACCACCCCCTCGTGTGCCTTGCTGGCGTTCATAGATGTTACTCGCTAACAGCACTTGTCCCAACAGTCTGTTAAGGCTACACTGGGGAGCTTTGTCTTTGGGGAAAAGTTCAATTTCTGCTTTCGGCCAATATTGGTGGCATGTCTCTGAACCGGCCTCCCCTAAGTCAACTCAGCCTTAAACGAGTACCTGGTTAAACAGCAAGCACCTCGACCTTCGAGGTGCTTGCTAACAGTCTGTTAAAGGCTGTATGGGGGATATGTGTGTATTTGTGGTGCGTGTACACACATGCCGCCTCTCGATCCTGCTACCCAGCACCTGCATGTGGAGCTGATTTCATCGCTCCATCTCCTTGGGTCACGTTCCATTCCGTCCTTCGACCACCAATCACCCTTCTAGCCCGCACCTCCGATTGGCACGGTTGGCTACGTTCGGTGCAAAATAAGTTCAACGTACATGACGTGCCCTGCCGAAGCCCATGATAATACCTGGACAATCACATCACGGTACCCATCCCACAGTGATCCATCAACCCCGTGTCTCCGTGCTGGCCCCGGGGGTGGGGGAGGGGGCCTCAAGGTTTGCTGCCACTCCCCATTTATGTGGCGCAATTCCACAAACGGGTTTTTGTGTTTGTGTTTTTTTTCTCCTCTGAGAAAAAAAGAGAAAAAAAACGCGCGTTACATAATCATAAGGGCGCATCCTCATCATCGGCAGCATTTCAAAACCTGCCCTCTCAACACTTGTGATGTCACTGATGGGCAAATGTAATGTGTATATTCGTGGAGTTACACGCAGTGTGTAAACGTGATGTGCGCACGTGCTGTCGTGTGTACACGTTGCGTGGTGTATACACGTGGCGTGTTGTGCGCACGTGGCCTGGTGTGCGTGCGTGGTGTGTACACGGGGTGCTGTACACGCAGCTCACCAGACTCTTAATCCCACATTTCCTGGCTTTTGAATGAACGGCCCAACAATTGACATCACCCCCGGTCGTCTTTCCCCGCGTGCGCTTGAATGGCAGACCGCCTGCCGGTACCGGGTGTCACAGGTTTGGCCTGCGAGGTGGCAGTTCGTACACGAGATGGCGAGTGGCAGCACTGGACTCTTGACTTTATCTGTGCGGAGCGCTGCGTTGCGACACTCCCTTCGTACGCGTGGTGGGTTTTCTCAGGGTAACTCTGGTTGTCAGCGTAAGGTACGCATGCACTGCCACGACAGTGCATGCCTTTCCATAATAGTCCTATATTCTCCAGTACAGTACTGTCCTTGAGGACATCTGGTAACCCTAAAGCATTATTCGCGCATGCGTGTTGCACTCCGCCGCGTGTACGCAGCACCCGCTATCACAAGGATGGAGGAGGGCGAGATGGATACGGCACGCATGCCAAAATAATTTCTGAGCTGTTCCGGCTGAAATTAAGGGCTGGAAATAACCACGCCGACCCGCGGCCAACGCGGCGTTGGGGAGGCCCTCAACCAGCAGTGGATTGGCAAATAGGCTGCACGTGGACTTGGATGCAGTGCCGGATTAAGCTCGTGCGGGGCCTGTAGCACATGTTATAAAGGAGCCCTAAATAAAAACAAATATATTAAAACAAATGTTTAACTTGCATAGTAAAGTAATTGTTTTTTTCATTTCCTATACAGCCAGATAATACGGCAAATCGCAAACCTTAAACACCCAGTCGTTCATAAAAGTCGAAGGCAGTATAGTACTATAGTAACAGAGCAAGTGCAAAATCACTGAACCGGAATTGATAGCTTGAAAGCATTTAGCGCGGGGCCCTTGAAAGTGCGGGGCACCGTAGCATATGTAGCTACTTGTACTACTAGGATAATCCGGCACTGTCTGGATGGTTGGTTGGTAGGGGAGATAACCAGGAACCCACCGAGTATGAAGACGCGACCACAACCCACGTCAAATTATCGTGCGGTGGCTATTTTAGGAACTCGAACGCCCGGGACCCGCCCTGACCGGCGCGCGGACTTTTGGGCGTGGTGCCAAATGAGAGCTCTGCAAATCAGAAAACCCACATCGTAACTGAATAATACAATCGTAGTAATAATAGTAATCGTGCACGTGGGAACACCATCACTTTACAACAACACACAAACGTCTTTAAAAAAAAAAGCACCGAGTCTTTGTGAAAGTATGCAAACATAAACCCATCGGCAGCAGTTTTGAGGAAGTGCATTGTGGGTCTCTTATATTAGGTGACCATCAACAATACATTTGAGCTAATGTGACCGACGGACCGACGGTCGTGACGAGTCCATGGACCAATACCACACGCAAATGTATTTATTGGCGCCATCAGGGTCGGCAATACGTTGCATCGTATCAACATCTTTCCATCGCCGATACATTTTTTTTCATTGCAATCGGCAATAATCTTTTTGATAAGGACCTTATCGCACAATCCACTTTGATTCGCCAAATACGGAAACTGGTACGGTATCGCTAAATGTTTGCCGCTACCCGCGCGGTGCTAGATTCTGACGTGGCTGGTTGACTGGAAGTTTTCTAAGCCCCCACCACCACCAGCAGTCGCAGCCTGCCTGCGTGCTGTATTCTGTGAGCGTTTGAGTTGATTTTTTTTGGTGAACCAGCTGAGAACTCCGGAGACCGGGATAGAGAGTGACCCGAGATCACTAACATTAATTTAAAAATAATTAAGCACAACATTGGAGTTCAAGAGAAATCAGCACAGAAACCAGCCTTGCAAACACGCACGAGGATTCGAAACCCGTATTGGACAAACATGAAATCGGTGTTAAATTAAAGTTAAATATCAAACTTCCTGCAGCGCACGACGGCTCGGGCAGGTTATTTTTAGACTGACCACGGTGCAATATACTAAACTAGCTGTCCTACCCGGCTTCGCCCGGGACTTGGATCCACCACGCGCGGTCGCCTTTGTCTCCCCAGTGGCGATGTTCACACACCAAAGCAGTTACTCGTTTGATGCTGAGTCGACCTAGGGGGAGGCCCAGGAGCGGTTGAAATAATCGTCACCGGTGGTGGCCGTGAGCGGGAATCGAACTCGGGTCGCCGGGTTCGTAGCGCGGCGCGCTAACCACTACACTACAATGCGTTACGCTTCCACATGCGCGGGTCACGTGACATATTTGACGTCACAGCTCACTTGCCGTGCAAAAAGTATATGCATTATTGAGCTCCCCCCCCCCCCACCAAAAAAAACCCATAGTGTATTTTAATAATTGTTGCATGGTGTACAGTCTGGAAAGTACCCACATGGCAAATTTCAAGTCGGGAAGTACGCTAAACATTTTGAACAGACACACATAATCACAACTTTGCCTTTTATATATATGGAGATGAAGTTGAAGGAACATCAATTATTAAATAGATATAGGTGACTACAGTATTAATATGTAAACAAAGGACACATGTCATTTGTGCGTGTTGACAGGATAAAGTTTGTGTTCACACTCACCTGCAGACCCGTCCATACTGCACATCTATGAAAAATAGCGTCATAGCATATCGGATTCCTCCTCCAGTCTAAATAAATGTTCTGATTCCGTGTATGACTGATGTTGTGTGTGTGTGGTCTGGCTGTGTGTGCTCTGTTTAACTTTACCGTATGTGAATGTGTGTGCAGTGGCCGTGTGTTTTACTGTGCGTGTTCGCTAAACGTGTCGAGGTGTGTGTGTGTAAACATCGCTAGTGGGGAGACAAAGGCGGTCGGGCGTGGTCCTGGCCACCTCCACCCCCTTGTGTGCCATTCCGGCCTTCGTAGGCGAAACTCGCTAACTGCACTTGCCCCAAAAGTATGTTGAAAGCTACACGTGGGATCTTTGTCTCGTGATGACCCAGGGGCACACGATGTTGTGGCTTGTGGGTGTCTCTAAGATCGAAAACAGTTTGAGTGCATTTTTACTGGTCGGAACCTCCTGGTTACACCACCAGCCCACAGGGGATTATTGTGTCCGTCCGTCGTGCATCCAAAAATGGGAGGGGTGGGGCTGGGTGGGGAGGGTGGGGCTGGGTGGGAAGGTGGGGCTGGGTGGGGGGTGGGGCTGGGTGGGGGGTGGGAGGGTGGGGCTGGGTGGGGGGTGGGAGGGGTGGGGCTGGGTGGGGGGTGAAAGGGGTGGGGCTGGGTGGGGCTGGGTGGGGGGTGAAAGGGGTGGGGGTGAGAGGGGGGTGAAAGGGGTGGGGGTGAGAGGGGTGGGGGTGGGAGGGGTGGGGTTGGGTGGGGGGTGAGAGGGGTGGGGGTGGGAGGGGTGGGGCTGGGTGTGGAGGGGCTGGGTGTGGAGGAGCTGGTCACCCCGTGGTGCCCTTATAAAACTCAACGTTTCACCTACTCACGCCGGCTTGTGCCCGCCCTCACAGTCGGGCATATTTGCGGAATACACCACGTGGTGCCGCCGTTAACCCTGGCCATTGACCGAGCACCCCAACGTTCCTACCAGCTCCCTCCGCAGGAATGTATTCCAAATAGGTTGACTCATTGTCGCTGTCCCTGGAGTTTCTCGTTGCCATTTCGATTAAATGTGTGCGTCTCGTAGCCAAATGTGGGTGTCTCTTCTTACCCTTGTTCAACACTATATATACAACCTCTAAATTGCCTCTTCGTCCTGAGAACCATGGAGCAATAGCACACCTCGCCCAAGTGGGATGCTCGTGAAACGATTGGCACATATTTAATTAGAATGAGGAATACATGAACAACGTAGATTACAATGGGGTTTGTTTTTAAACGAAAGCCACTTACTGCTTGGACAAGTGTGGCGATAGCGCTTGCCATGGAGGGTGCCAGTCTGGGCAAATAAACAAACGCTAACGACTGCATTGGGGCTGTCCATAAATGACGCCACGCACCTGGGGGGGGGGAGGGGTCAGACATTTGTGACGATGTGTGACGAGGGGGGAGGTGTTTGAGAAATGTGACGTCACATAAAAATGCGCAACTTTAAATAAATATAGACAACACGTTCTACTTAATTAAATAGACTTTCTGATAAATGTTTTCTCCTTCAACATCAGAATGCAGCGGCACATTAAATAGCACTACAATGACAATAGTTTAAAGCGATTTGAAGCATGTTTTATTTTTTTTGGGGGGGGGGCAGAGCTTTGTGACGTCATTTGAGGGGGGGTCTGACTTTTTGTGACGCCGTGTGACGAGGGGGGGGGTAAAAAATCGTCCAAAATCGCGTGACGTCATTTATGGACGGCCCCATTGGCAAACTTGACACAAAATAGTACGAATATGCATTGACCTCGAGTCGAACATTACGAGTTGCAACAGCTCCGCTTTGCAGGAAAAAAATGTGTAGGTGTGTGTCTACGCGCGCACCTACTGTATGGGGAGCGGTGGCGCAGTGGTTAGGACACTGCGCTACGAATCCGATTTCCGCTCACGTCTAACACAGGTGACGAACATCTGAACCGGTCCGGGGCCTCGCCTAGATCGACTCGGCCTTAAATTAGTAGCCGGTGTGACGTGTAAACATCTGTACTGGGAAGACAAAGGCGGTCTGAGCGCGGTGCTCGTATTCCGCGCTGGTTCTCAATAGGCGCTCGCTAACTGCACTTTTCTCAATGCGGTGTTTTTTTCCCGGCTATCTGGGGGATCTTTGTCTTTGTGACCTTATAAAGCGTGGTGAATGTAATTTGCTGTCGCCAGTCGTCGGGGGGGGGGGGGGGGGGGGGGGTCCCGCGCTCTATCGCCCCCCTCCCCCCCCACGTTGCTATTTGTGAAACAAGGCGATGCTGTTTGCATTGCGTCGCTAATGCCCCATTACGCCTAATGAGGCGTGAGCTCACTGGGGGCATTGCACTCAGTCAGTCACTCACCCGGGTGGCGCGTGTCTCTCTCCCCCCTCCTCGCCCTCCTCCTGCTGCTGCTGCTGCCTGACCCGCACCACGCGCGCCTCTCGCCGGGAACAGAGCTCCCAGCGGAAGAAGGTGAGCGAGCTGCAATGTACACACACACGCACGTGCACACACACACACGTACACACACACACGTACACGCTCACACACGCACGTGCTTGCACACGCACGTACACACTAACACGCACGTACACACCCACACGCACGTACACACTAATATGCATGTACACACCCACACGCACGTACACACTAACACGCACGTACACACTAACACGCACGTACACACTAATATGCATGTACACGCACGTACACACTAACACGCACGTACACACCCACACGCACGTACACACTAATATGCATGTACACACTAATATGCATGTACACACTAACACGCACGTACACACTCACACGCGCACTAACGCACTAACGCACTTGCACACGAACACACACTAACACAATACACAACGACAAATATGGCCCATCAGCACACATACTGACACATGCAGAGTGCACGAGGTGGTGGGCTTGGCCGGATATCACGCCCGGTGCTGCCTCTGCCTCCCCAGCGGTGATATTCGCACAACCTTTAGGGTGGGACGGCTCACGACGCCTTCGGGCGCGTCACCTGCAGCTGTTGTTCATCTTTGGGAATTCTTCCTGGGAGGCTGGAATAGTGCGGTGCAGGGATCACAGAGCGTGCTCTCGGGGCGATTGTGGTTATGCCGTTGCCCTGGGGACATGAGTCAAGTTTTCAGCAAAGGGATAAACTCGGATCAATATCCTGAGGATTCCAATGCACCGCTGGCCCGTGATCCCTTTTTAATGCTTTGCGCATTCACCAGATTCCGAGGCTGTGTGTGTGCGTGCGTGCATGACGCGCGTGCCCCATTGCGTGTACCTCTGTTTTCCGTGCCAGATGTCTGTGTGTGTGTGCGCGCGTGTCTACGGGCGTGTGGGGGAGCGGTGGTGTAGCGGTTAGCGCGCTGCGCTACGAACCTGGCGAACCGAGTTCGATTCCCGTTCACGGCCAACACCGGTAACGATTATCTGAACCGGTCTTGGGCCTCCCCTAGATTGACTGGGCCTCAAATGAATACTTGGTGCGGTGTGTAAAACATCGCCACTAGGGAGACAAAGGCGGCCGGGCGTGGTACTGGCCACCATCCCCCTCGTCTGCCGTGCCAGCCTTAAAAGGTGCTCGCTAACAGCACTTGCCCCAACAGTATGTTAAGGCTATACGGGGGATCTTTGTGTCTTTGTTGTGCGCGTGTGTCCACAGGCAAGACGCTATGGGAGCTGGTGGCCGAGCAGTTCCAGAACCTCCTGGTGCGAATTCTTCTCCTCGCCGCCACGGTCTCCTTCGTAAGTCCCCGTTGATGTTTTCATCTCGCTGTGCACAGCGATGCATTCTCCGAGGCGGTCACCTGACGTGGGAGTGGTCCGACTGTGTGCGTTCTCGTGGATGTGCACTGGACAGCTCTCCGACACGTTTTCGGGTCATATGCCCGACGTTTCGCACCACGTTGCTGGAAGTTTCTACAGACACGGGTGTCATTGGAGAGTGTTGGGAGCGGTCCGATTGAAGCTGCTCCAACGAGCGTCGTGGTGGTGGTGGTGGTGCTCGTCTCTCCTGGCGGTGGTGGAAATTTCACATTCTTATGGCAGTGGCTGTCATTTTTTGAGTGGGATCACTGCGTTTGACTTCTCACGTGAGACTAAAATACAAACCACAAACCATCAGCCCACTTTACTTGAGTAACAGACGGCTGAAACCCGGATTCGAACTTGACCGCTGAACCACTCGGCTATCCTGAACCCGACAGGAAGTTGAACTCACAACTTTCCGATTGTGAGTCGTGCGACTCTGCCCGAAGTAGCTTCCACACAGGCAGGGCTTCGTTTCAGCCGGGCTAGAGACCCAGGAAATATTTCCACGCCCCGGCCCACCGCATCCTTCATAGCTCTCGCACTGGCTGTGGCTCACCAGGAAACCACCTCCTCCACTCTCCCTGCAGACACCGCAACATCTTCCGTGAGAGATGAAGCAAGCCCTGGTCACGTCTGTGAGCCTTGCCCAGTCGCGCCGAGTACATATTTGAAAACTAATTCCTTTTGAAAATTTATTTCTTCAAAGCAGTTTATCGTGCTTAGTTTGCTAGTGCTTCCCGCACGCGTCCGATTAGCACGATTTGGCCATGTGCGGCGCGAAAGAAGTTCAGCAGACGTACATTTCAAACGTCGCGCTCACGGACTCGGGACAACGCAGCTCCGCCCGCGCCTCTCCTGCTGCGAGGGCGACCCCGCGAAGTGGGGACGGCGTGTGGGACGCCGCTGAACGGATGATTGCCAACCCCTTCCACTCCAGTGCGCTCGGCGTGAGCACTGAGCCGTGAAGCGCCGAGGAAAGTAAACGGAGGTCGCACGACCTCAGCGTTGCACCGCGCGGTGCAAAGGTTGGCAGCAGCGCCACTGGACCCATGAGCCGGAGGTCGCTGGTTCGATTCCATCTCCCGGCGTGGCAGTTGAAATTATGGGGGGGGCAAGTTTCCTAACTCCCCCCCCTCCCCCCGTGCCACCTCCTCCACCGCCACCTCTGTCCACCCAGCGGTGTGGATAGACACACCCTAGTCAAGTCAATCGGTAAACCGGCGTGTGGTGGGGTGACGTGCGGGCGTCCCCACATCTTGGGAGGCGTCTGTCCAGCGCGGAAGAGTAGGCCGAGCATACCGTGTAGACCAGAGGGGGGGGGAGGCTCTCTTAAGAGTTCCCTCTTAGCGGAAGGTCCCTTCCGCCAGCGGCGGTGCGAGCGCGGAATTGCAGGGCTGCGCCTTTGCCCCCTCGCACAGACGCGCTCACCGCAGCGACGACGCTGCTCTCGTTGCTATCGACGAGTCGTCGTTTCAGCTGACGGCGGTGGCGCGGGACGCCCGTACGTCGTTGAATTATTCACGGAGCGCTGGGCCGAGGGGGCTGCTACCCTGCGCGTATCGCTCCCCGCCCCCCCCCCCCCCCCAGGCGATGGCACCTCTCCAGTTACCCTACCCCTCGCCTCGTCTATCCTCAACGCGTCTCAATTCACCTCTCCTGAACTCGCCCACACCTGTGCCGAGCAGTTCCACGCCCCCGAGCCGCGTTAATAATTGAGTGGATAACACCACCAGCGGTGCCAGGAGTGTGTGTGTGTGTAATTAAAGTGACACACGCACACTCACGGTAGTGTCGTGGTTAGCTCGCTGCGCTATAAATCCGACGGCCCGAGTTCGATTACCGCTCACGGCCACCAACACCAACGATGATTATGCGAACCGGTCTTGAACCTCCCCTCGGTCGACTCTGGTGCGGTGTGTAAACGTCGCCATTGGGGATACAAAGGCGGCTTTGCCGTGCCAGATGTTTGTGCGCGCGTGGGGAGCGATAGTTGTAGCGGTTAGCGCGCTGCGCTACGACCCCGGCGACCACAGTTCGATTCCCGCTCACGGCCAACACCGGTGACGATTATCTGAACCGGTCCTGGGCCTCCCGTGGGTCGACTCAGCCTAAAATGAGTACCTGGTGCGGTGTAGTAAAAACATCGCCACTGGCGACAAAGGCGGTCGGGCGTAGTGCTGGCCACCCACCCCCCTCGTGTGCTCTGCCGCCCTTCATAGGTGCTCGCTAACAGCACTTGCCCCAATATACAATTAATTACAGGCTATACGGGGGATCTTTGTCTTGTGATATACGTACACACGTGCGCGGACACTGGCGGTCGTGTGTCGCCTGCGTGGCAGCTGAGGGATCTGGCAGAAGGAAGGAAGCTCAAATGGTGAGCTGTGTTCCAGGAATGACCCGCGGGGAGGACCTTGGTGAAACAAGTGAAGTTACAGCAGCAAACAAATCGCAACGTTGCGGCACAGCGAGGAGCCAAACGCATTGCAGGAAAACGGCATGCACAAATCACGCGCCGTTCACGCAACACCGCCACAAGGCGATGCGTGTCGTCACCGTCGTCACCGTCGTCATCGTCGTCACCGTCGTCACCGGTGGCCGCACCCCGAGGCCGTGGGCCTCGCGTGCTGGCCGCGGCGCGCGTCGCAAGGGCACGTGGCCACGGAGAGCGCGAGCGCGGTTCGCGCGCCACGTGTGCAACAGCTGGGAGATCTGGAATGAAGCGAAGGAATTTTTAAAAAAAGGGCCAGGGAAGGGGCGAAGGAGGGACTTCAGTCGAAGCCACCGAAGCGAGCTCCTTCCGAATGTGATCAACGCGCGGGGAGTCGAAGCGAAGAAGGACGGATGGAGGATGCGAGAGGAAGGCCGAGGATTGGGGATCGCGAGGCTGCAGGAGCTGAAGGAAGAGGGTAGGGGGGGGTGTGGGAATGAGGTCAGAGAATGGGGGGAGGGTGGAGAAGGTGGCAGCCAAGTCCATGGTGGAAAGGGCAAGCTCCAGCAAGGGGCGGTGGGGCTCTGAGTGTGCGAGGGGAGCGGCTTCGTGGGAAATGAAATGAAATGGAAAATGATTGAAAGTCACTCATCTCCTCTCCACAGCCCCGAGCCAGTGGTGTAAATTCCACATTCCTATGGAGGGTGGTGCGTCTATTCATAGGACGCCCTGAGGTGACTCACCGCAAGCGGCGTGGCCCTTGATCGACCCCTGAGGGATGATGGGCTGAGTCGACCTTCACTGAGGGATGATGGGCTGAGTCGACCTTCACTGAGGGATGATGGGCTGAGTCGACCTTCACTGAGGGATGATGGGCTGAGTCGACCTTCACTGAGGGATGATGGGCTGAGTCGACCTTCACTGAGGGATGATGGGCTGAGTCGACCTTCACTGAGGGATGATGGGCTGAGTCGACCTTCACTGAGGGATGATGGGCTGAGTCGACCTTCACTGAGGGATGTGTGGCCTCTGAGTGCCGTGGGGTGGAGTTTCGAGGTCGAGGTTGACCGGTTGGGGCAAGGCAACCACCACCGGAGGCCGATTGGGCAAAATGTTTACCGATAGAAATAAAAGTGTGTGGCTCGTGGGTTAGGGTTAGGGTGAGGGAGAGAGCTCGCACTCGATTGGCTGGTGCCGCTTCACCTCGACCTAACGCCCCGCCCCCCTGCCCCGCCCCCCACCCACCTTTGCCCCGCCCCCTCAGCCTGCCCCGCCGAGTGAGCCCCCTGCCAGGTTGTTATCTGCGCCTGGCGTCTCCAGCCCCCCCTCCCCTCCCACCCTTGCCCCCCTCGCCGCTAATAAGACGCCAGCCCACGCCGTGTTTGTCTTTCCAGCGCAGGGCGATAGCGGCTGTTTGTTCCAGGCACTCATCCGTTGCTCAGGGTGGAGCCCCCGGAGCAATAAACCTCCGCTCCCCGCCACCCCCACGGCCCTTGGCAGTGCTCTCACCTCACGAGGTGGTTAATTAAGAGCCGGGCCACAATTGCCTCTGCAAACAGAGCTCAGGGTAGAAGTTTCCATTGTGTGTGTGTCTGTGTGTGTGTATCTGTGTGTGTGTGACTGTGTGCGACTGTGTGTGACTGTGTGTGTGTGACTGTGTGTGTGTGAGACTGTGTGTGTGCGACTGTGTGTGACTGTGTGTGCGACTGTGTGTGTGTGAGACTGTGACTGTGCGACTGTGTGTGCGACTGTGTGTGACTGTGTGTGTGACTGTGTGTGCGACTGTGACTTGTGTGTGACTGTGTGTGACTGTGTGTGACTGAGTGTGAGTGTGACTGTGTGTATGACTGTGACTGTGTGTGTGACTGTGTGTGTGTTTGTGCGTGCGTGGGGAGCGGTAGTGTCGCGGTTAACGCACTGCGCTGCAATACCCCTCGACCCGAGTTCGATTCTCGCCTATGGGCCAACACCAGTGAAGATTTTCTGAAACCGGTCATGGGCCTCCGCTAGGTCGACTCGGCCTGAAATGAGTACCTGGTGCGTTATGTAAACATCGCCACTTGGGATACAAAGGCGTCCGGGCGTGGTGCTGGCCACCCACCCCCCTCGTGTGCCGTGCCGGCCTCCATAGGCGCTCGCTAACGGCACTTGCCCCAACAGTCTGTTAAGCCTATATGGGGGATCCTTGTCTCTGTGTATCTGTGTATGCATGTGTATTTGTGTGCATGTGTTCACGTCCCTGCGCGTGTGTCGTGGGTTCCAGGTGCTGGCGTGGTTCGAGGAGGGCGAGGAGACCATCACGGCGTTCGTGGAGCCGTTCGTCATCCTCCTCATCCTCATCGCCAACGCCATCGTTGGGGTCTGGCAGGTGGGTCCCCCCACTATCCATCCACTAATCATCACGAGGGGGAGTTGCAACAGAGCCAGGGCAGAGGGCACGCCAGACGCAGGCAGCTCCCACCACCGTGACTCATGCTGTGTGGTGTTCAGCGGCTGTTTTAAAGTTTGTTTAACATTGCCCGAGTCGTGGCCCCCCTCCCCTCCCCCCCCCACTTAAGCTTGGTCATTTTCCGGATCGTTCTGTTGGTGTCACATTGCTCACGAGACGAAGACTCCGTTCGCAATTCTCACACAGCAGTGCGAGCCATTCTCCGACACGCCCGCGTGCTGAAGCGGACACCACAGAGCTACCTCTGAGATCCCTTAACAGTGGCCCCTGGTCCACACAGCAGGGAGCAGCACTTTCCCGGGCCCGCGCCACACATTCATGCGGCCACGGCCTCAGCGTGAGCGTCACCTGACCGCGTCGACTCGTGGATTCTGGGCGTCGTGACCCCCAAATCCTAAATCCCGTATCCACCGCCCCGCGCCTCCCCCCCCTCCTTCCCCACCACATAGGAGCGTAATGCGGAGGGTGCCATCGAGGCGCTGAAGGAGTACGAGCCCGAGATGGGCAAGGTGTACCGCCAGGACCGCCGCATCCTGCAGCTCGTGAAGGCCCGAGACCTCGTGCCCGGCGACATCGTGGAGATCGCCGGTGAGAGGCGGCGATGCAGAGTAGCCGTGACCCCTAGCCATGACCCCTAGCTGTGACCCCTAACTGTGACCACGACCCCAACTCCAATCCTACAGGGTCATTGTTAGCTCTTGGGGTTTAGAGCTCTCATTTCATTAGTACTAACCTTTGTTCTAACCATAGCCATGACCCCAAACCTGACCATATCACTGATGCTAACCCTAGCTCTGTCCATAACCATGACCCTAACCATGATCTTGATCCAATCCAGACCCGGACCATGACCTTTAGTCGAACAATAATCGCTGTCTCCAGCCCTCTAACGCTAACACTAACCTCAGTTTGAACCCTAATTCCAACCGTGACCTTAACTTACTTTTGCCTCACCTCGAACCTTTAACCCATGACCTGAATCTTAATCATAGCCCCTTGATTAATTCTAACCATGACCCCTATCTTTAATTCTAACCATGACCCCTATCTTTAATTCTAACCATGACCCCTAGCACTGATCAAGCAGAGGGGGACAACGACGGCGAGGGGGCGTGGGTGGGCACTGATGTGGCACGAATGTGGCACGAGCGTGGTGCATAGATATTACCGTGACTCTCACCACCATCACCACCACCGTGTGCCGTGCCTCGCCAGCGCCCGGCTTGTGCCACCAGAACCTTGCGAACGTGGCACCGAGCCGCTCACTTCCCTGCCAGAATGTCTGCTTTGAATTTTTGGGTATCTCGTGTCTGTGCAGGCGAGGACTTTAAAGGAGGGAGGGGAGGGAGGGAGGATGGGAGGATGGGCAGGAGGAGAGGAGAGGGAGGCAAGAGGGGAAGGGGGGGTGGGAGTTGAGTGCCTGCAGCATCGCGCGCCCCACGGTGTCCGTGGGCCGGGGGCGCAGACCTCGTTGTCGCTGCGTCACGGCTTCCCGCTGGGGGTCGTGACCCCGCAGTTCCCGCCAGTGAATCCTGGAGGTCGTGCCGGTGCAGGAAACTTGGGGCACACCCTGAGGTCTCCCCCTTCCCAGCGCGGTGTGGAAACGCTCGATTCCGCACCGGGGGCTTTCCCGACGTCGCCGGAAACTCAGGGGTTCCCCCCTGAGCCGGGCGGTTCCACCTCCTTCCGAGGGACGTGGCTTAGACCTGGAGTGGGGTATGGCCAAGGCGGGCGGTGCGTGTAGTCGGGAAGGTGCTGCGGGGGGGGAAGGGGGGGTGGAGGGCGAGCGATGGCGAGGGCAGCTAATGCTGCTGCATTTGCACATTCGTGCTGCCCATCCGGTACGTGAGCTTCAATGACGGCAGTGAGAGACCCAAACCAACATCCTGGCCGGGAACAGACGATTGCGAGGCCGGGCATGGCAGAGTCGCCAAAGTTGGTGGTTGAGATGGTCACAGCCATCAGGGGAACTTTGGGAAAGTAAGAGGGGAGCTGGAGGAGGAAGATGTGGGGAAGATGAGCAATGAAGGGTGGCAAGGAGGGAGGAAGGGAGGGCGAGGACGAGGAGACGGGTAGGATGATGAAGAGAGTGAGGAGGAGATGGGAAAGGGAAGAAGTGGGGAGGGGGGAGGATTGGGTGAGGAGGAGGAGATGCTGAGGAGATAAGGAGGGTAAGCAGAGGAGGTGAAAAGGAATGGAAGGTGAGGAGGTGGGGGGGGGGGGCTGAGACGGTGGTGAGGGATCAGTGAGGGTGCCCGGCTCACATTCTGTGTGGGCTGGTGCCCTCTGTGCCACCCTCCACCTTCACCACCGCTGCTGTCGGCTGCCACTGCTTATCGCTTGGCGATCCGACAGGGCCGGGGAGGGAGGGAGGGGGGAGGGGGGAGCCAGGGCAACCCGGCCACGTGTTGCTCAACCGCATTCTGCCAGAACCGCAGGGTGTTAGCGTTGGTGATATAATTATTACTGGCAGGAAATGTAGGGACTCGACTGCGCATGAATTCTATATTTATCGCGCATTTCGCGATGTGGGAGTTGGCGTATTTTTCGACTTCTTTATTTCTGATGGCCGAAGGGACGGCGGAACGTAAAAACTGAAGAATTATTTTTGTCGACAAGGACGCGACGGCTGCGGGTGGATGCCACTGAGCTGTTGCTGCTGCTGCTGCTTCTGCTGCCATCAGTGTTTGCTGTCGGATGTTGCTGCTCAAGCTGCTACCCCTGAGGAATGAAAAACCCACAAACCCATCATGGGAAGAAGACGAAAATCTCACCAAGACCGGAAGAGGGGGGAGAGCCGCAAGTGAAGGCATCGTCTTGAGTGGTGCATTTACCGGGACTTTCAGCGTCCCTGGGGAGACCCACAGATTTTCCCTGTGCAGCAGCAGCAGCAGCTTCTTCCCGAACAGGAGGAGAATCCCGGGAAAACCAGGGCAGGTGGTAGCCCTCCCTGCTGTTCCCAATGTTGCTGTCTCTCGATGCTGGGGGAGGAGAGAGCAGCAACAGTACTATTATCAATAATTCCAATAGCAACTATCGCGTGTTAAGTTTCACAGTCCCACGGGTGTTTCGCACCTCCGATTAGCACGGTTGGCTACGTACGGCGCGAAAGAAGTCGCACGCACGCGCGCGGCGCTGAACCACGCGCTGCGCTCCCCGAAAAAACGGCAGCCGACCGTGCAGCACAACCGCGAAAACCAACGCGGCGAAGAGACGTCAACTCGTGGCACGGGGATGTCACAAGCTCCACGCCGCATTTTCGACGTCAACGGGCAGAGAGAGGTGCCGCCACGGAAGTCGCCTGGAGCTGAGCCACGGAGATTACGGACCCCCGTGCCGCCGCCGCCACCGTCGGCGGTTCGTGGAAATCGGTTCACCCCCCCCCCCCTGCCGGCCCCGAACCCGGAGGGCCAGCCGTGAATTTCGAACGAACGGATAAACAAACAAGAACCCGCGGCTCGCACGCCCATCGGCGTGTCACCCGATTGGTCAAATAACATTTTGGGCAGAACACCTCGACTCCGTATGGGTCAGAGGTCAGAGGGCTGAGCTGGCACTGCTGAGATCGTGAGGTCGACCTGTAATTAAACTGGGTCCTCAAGTGGAGTGGGTGGGTCGGTGGTTCCAGGCCAGTCGCCAACGACTGCGCAACAGCACACGTAGCATTTAATTTGATTTTTGCGGCAAATTTTCGTGAAATTTCATTTCTGAGAGTGAACAACGTCGGTTTGACTTTCGTGCAACCAACATTGCTCTTGGTGGCAGAGCGGGTGGTAAAATTCTACCCCTTACCATGTGGGCCACAGGTCGCTTTAAGAGACCTCAGAGGTAGCTCTGTGATATCCATTTCTGTGGGCAGTTTGGATGCATGAAGGCTCGTACTGCTTGTTTACCCAGGAGTCTCAAGACTCGTTCTCACGAGGATCCTGCTACTACTTTGGGGTGTTTGGCTAATTTCTTTATTAAGAGTTTTTTGTTTAGATTGTGAGGCGGAAACTAGCGTGGCTAGAGAAACCCCACAGCTCATCCAAGGGCAGAACACTCGACCTCAGCTACTTGTTGTCAGCCACCTACTTTCCGTACTGCTCGAAGCAAGTGCCTGTTCACCGCGTCCCTATGGCTGAGATTCTCACAGCTTCAGGGTTATCTCGGTGCGGTTCACAAGCCTCACCGCCTCCTGATTGTTAGATTACCAGGCGAGGGTTTCATGCCTGAAAAAAAAAATTCCTTATAAGACAACAAAATTACATGAAACCGAAGCCGGTCCGCGTCTCGCGTAGTCCGCACCCGCCCGGTTCGAGGGCAATGGCCCACTGGGAGGTGCGGCTCGTAGAGATTTGGAGTTATCAACTGGCGTTGTTGTGATGCTGTTGCTGTTGGCAGCAGTGCACAAGCAACAAAAAAACTTAAAACATTCATCAATGACAACACCGCGGTCCTCTGGCTGTCGCCTGATGATGCTCGTTGTAATAACCAGCGAAACGTCGTCGTACTCGGACTGTAAATGTTGTGGGTTTACTCTCCAACACACCGGTGTGCTGAACTAGTAACGAATTGGCATGTTTAGTTTACGTGACAAACGCTTACTGATTGGCTGTGTCGGGCGGTGGTGGGTTTAACGACACATTAATATTTACGCGATCTAACAAAAAAAAGCCTCTTTATGGACCGTGGTCCTGGTGGACAAACAAAAATATTTAAAATAAAAATGGTGACGTTTCGGGCTCAGCACATTGTTTGCATAATCTGCTATGAATAAGTGTTAAGAATTGTTATGGACCAACATGCAAAGCTTTATCATGAAGCGATGAAGACGAGTGATTTTAATGAAAGATAAGCGAGAGACGGGCGAGGGAGCTGTAGACACGAGGAAGCTGTAGACGAGAGATGAGCGAGATAAACGAGAGAGAGATGTCAGACTTGACAGACAAGAGATACAGATTCGTGGCCACATGTACGGGAATTATGCACACGCCAATTTTATTGTGGTCGACTAGAAATTATAGTTGAAGTCCACTGCCCTTTGTTATGTTGCCCTAACCTCACTCTGCCTCTGTCCTCACTTGCTCTGCCCCCCCCCTCCCCCGCTCCTCTCCCAGTGGGTGACAAGGTTCCGGCCGACGTGAGGCTCACCTCCATCAAGTCAACCACCCTCAGGGTGGACCAGTCCATTCTGACAGGTACGGCGGGGGGCGGGGTGGTGGTCACAGCTATGCTCAACGTCACAGTGACTCACAGCAACGCGTGGCCTTTGATTTCCGGCTCCTTCTGGGTGACGGGTCGAGTCACGTTCACGATGACAATTATGGGCATCATCGTCGTCAGTCACGTTCTATCCACTGCTGGACGAATCCCCCTCTCCACGTTGTCGCCACTCCCCATGCGGGGGGGTGCCGTGATCCCACAATAAACGTGGCTCCAGCACGCGATCTGCTTTCGTCGCTCCGTCGTGGACGCTCCTCTTGGGCGTGTCCTCTCCTTTGCCTGCCATGATGTGTCACCTTTCTCATAAAACGTATGCAAATCCAGAGGCGCCGTGTCGACTGATGAGAAGAGCAAGTGGGCTCGGGCCGGACACGTCGCGGCTTGAGGGCACGGCGGTCGGTGGTGGAGACTAACAAAGGAGTGGCAGGACTGGGAGCGAGCGCGCCCAAATGCGGGCGCACGTCCGCCGGAGAGATGGAAGTGATAAAATGAGCTCGCGTGCAGGAGCCCGGCGGATTGTTGCACCGCAGAACAGTGAGGGATGGCGACCACTCGGGGAGGTCTTCATCCAGCAGTGGATAGAGCATGGGGGGGATGATGACGATGAGGGGAGAGGAGGGAGGGTGATATTGGGATATGGAACGATCCGATATGCGTCAGCTGATTGAATAACTTTATTATTTTTTAAGCATTGATTCATTTAAGAGCAGAGGTACGAGAGCGCACATTAACTGGGAGTCACGTGACAGCCGAGGGGCGATGCAGGAGACTGTCGGGGGGGTGGGGGGGGGGTCTCTTTCCCTGCCCCAGTGCGTGCGTGTCTGCACGTGCGTGCGCGTGCTACGTGGCCCCTTCCTACTTGTTTATTTGATTCCCTATCAGACACCGGGGTTTCTGTTTCACGGTCGCCACCACAATTATTCCCGCGCGGTTGCCCGCCGCCAACGTCCAATATTTTGAATCGTCCAATGGGGAACGCTCGTGGCTCCCGGGTCGGCGGGGGTGGCAGACTCCACCCCGGGTCTTCCGGCCTCCTGCGACACGCGCACACACGCACACACGGGGGGGAGACGTTATTTGAGTTATTAGAACGTGCAGCATCAGTGATTTAATCTGATATTTGCTGCCACGGAGAGGAGCGTGAAATCCACGCACCTTTCAGGGAGAACCGGTCTTGTGAGGGCATTCCGGCAAATGGGTGTTTGATGATGGAACTTGGGCATATCGCCATCTTGATCGCGGCATTTGACTATTCCGCAAGCGTTAGACGCGCCACCTGCTGTCGGGAAAACTGAGGCACGGCTCACCCCTGCCCCTGGCACATGGGGCCAGGGGCAGGGGTGAGCCGTGCCTCACCCCTGCCCCTGGCGCGGAGTCCAAGGGAGCTCCAGCGCGGGGCTCTCGACTTCCAGCAATCAAAGTTTTACTTTTTTGCCGGTGCCAAAGTACAAAGGAACAAATCTCCTGGTCCTGATCTCCTTCCCGGCCTGACGTGTCGTGAACCCGAGAGGACCCAAGTTGGTCACGTGCACAAGTTGGTCACGTGCACAAGTTGGTCACGTGCACCGTCCGGGTCGCGCGCACCAACGCGGCTCGCTGCCATCCGCAAAGCCAAAAAGTCAACGCTGCAAGAGGAGACAAACTCGAACAGAACAAACACTGAAGTTCAGTACGACCGCGCGTGGGTGTTCGGCGTTGGGGCTGCGCGTCTCCCCCGCCGCGTTGTCCGGTTGCACGGCACGTCGCTCGGCACTGTCTCCGAACGTTTCACTCCTAATCCCGTTCCTGAGGAAGCTTCCATGGCACGCGGAGCGAAACGTCGGACACGGTGCCCCGTACGATGCGCGGCGCAACCCCTCTAAAGCACGTTGGAGAGCCGCGCCCCAGCCTCTCGCGCCGTGCGCTCCGGAGCGGAACTGTGAGGTTCAGCCCTCGGGATATGGCAATTGGCCAGATCGATGAGGTTATCTCCACGAAATCGACGCAAGCTCGGTTCAATTGTCTGTGCGTTCCTGCATGCAAAGCGACTCGCAGTGCGACGACAGCAATTGGCATGAGCACACAGGCAAAGTGGTAAAGGGGCAGGTCTGGAATTGCTCGCCTTTGTTGGCGGAAGGTCCTGCGTTCGTGGGACCTCTCGCGAGCCTCTCCAGGGGGTATTTGACCTCCGATCCCACGCTGCCCTGAAGTCTCGTAAGAAGTTGGAATGCCCACATGCTACCCCACCACACGCGACTTGCCGATCAGATTACGGTCCATAGTTACGATTGTAATCACATGAAGTCCCATGTGTAAGGCCTGTGCCCATGTGTGGACTGTACGTGGTCCACACGTGTTGCCCATGTCTCATGTTTGTCCTGTGTGTGTTCTGCTTGGTGTTACTGTGTCCTGTGTGTGTGTGTCTCTCTATTTTATCCCGTACGTGTCTCACGCATGATGCCTGTGTCCTGCGCATGCCCCACGCGTGTCCCGCACGCGTGTCTCCGTGTCCCGTGTGCAGGAGAGTCCATATCCGTGATCAAGCACACGGACGCGATCCCTGACCCCCGTGCCGTCAACCAGGACAAGAAGAACATGCTGTTCTCCGTGCGTCTCGCTCCTCCCATCGCTCACGCACCACACAGCCCTCCTGCTGCCCTTTGGGGCAACACGTGCTGCCCTCTGTTTTCACTGCTGAGCTGCTGGATACGAGTCTGACACTTTGTTTATGATAAAAAAAGACTTCACAATTAATCAGGAGCACGAAAGTGACATCACCCATTCTCACCCGAACCACCGAGCCAACCCAACACTGGAACACACTCTCCCTCTTCCCCTAACCATGCCAACCACAAATAAACCCCCAGCTCTCTGACCCCCCCCCCCCCTCCTTCCCAAGCAACAGCAGGAGAAATATTTTTTTCTGGAGCCCAGCCCTGGACGGTTCCGGCTGAAATGAAACCCGATGCTGCTGCTGCTGCTGATGATGATGATGATGATACCCGTGCCATCCCAGGGCACTAACATCGCGGCGGGACGTGCGGTGGGCGTGGTGGTGGCCACGGGCGTCCACACGGAGATCGGCAAGATCCGCGACGCCATGGTCTCCACGCAGCAGGACAAGACGCCGCTGCAGCAGAAGCTGGACGAGTTCGGCAAGCAGCTGTCCAAGGTGCTGACCGGCACGCGGCACAACCGCCACCAGCACCACCGCCACGTGACACAACCGCCACGTGACACAACCGCCACCAGTCCCACCTTCATGACACGACCGCTACCACCACCACCACAGCATAACCGCCAGGTGGCACAACGGCAACCACAGCACAACCGCCACCACCGCCATGGCACAACCACGCTCACGGGCCAAATGAGCCCGCAGCACCGCGGGGGTTGCGAGGAGCGGTGATGCGGTAACGCGGTGGGATGGCAGCGGCCGCGTAAGCTTATATTGGTCGCCCCCGAAACATCCGTTCCCGTGGCAGAAAAACATTGAGGGCTTGCGGTTCCCCGGCTCAGGGGGATAGGTTTTTTGTCACCTCGGTAACCGCGTCCCCCTCTCCCCGCAGGTCATCTCGTTCGTGTGCGTCGCCGTGTGGCTCATCAACATCGGCCACTTCAGCGACCCCGTGCACGGCGGCTCGTGGCTGCGCGGCGCCGTCTACTACTTCAAGATCGCCGTGGCGCTGGCCGTGGCCGCCATCCCCGAGGGCCTCCCCGCCGTCATCACCACGTGCCTGGCGCTGGGCACGCGCCGCATGGCCAAGAAGAACGCCATCGTGCGCAGCCTGCCCTCCGTCGAGACGCTCGGCTGCACCTCGGTCATCTGCTCCGACAAGACGGGCACGCTCACCACCAACCAGATGAGCGTGTGCCGGGTGAGTGTGGGGGGGGGGGCGGGGGCGGAGCTGGGGCGGGGGGGGGCTCGCATTAATTTGTAAATTTGTTTTAAAAAAAATAACAATACGCTCGGATGGGTGGGGTAGTATTAGATTAACAAATGTCTGCATCTGAAGCTACTGAGTAAGCGGACTCGGTGAGCGTTGCGCGTCTCTCGCAGATGTTCATCCTCGACAGCGTGGAGGGGGATTCGTGCTCACTGCACGAGTTCAACATCAGCGGCTCCACCTACACGCCCGACGGAGAAGTGTGAGTGCCGACCCGCCCGCCCGCCCGCCCACTGCCTCTTTCTCACCCGTCCACTCGTCCACTATTTTCATCGCTTACAAACTCAAGCACTACCTTGCGCACTCAAAGGTTGTCTCATTCACCCGCTCGCTCACTAACTCACTTACTCACTTCTCCAACCATTCACATACCCGACCATTCACTTGGCCACACACTCTCCCACGTCACCCATCTACTTGCAGATGCTCGCTCACTTGCTCGCTTGCTCACTCATTCATCCGCACGCTCGCTTGCTCGCTGATTCAGCAGCCGGTTGTTCCCGTGTTGGCGCGCAGATTGAAGGACAACAATCGCGTGCAGACGGGGAAGTACGATGGCCTTGTGGAGCTCGCCACCATCTGCACGCTCTGCAACGACTCTTCGCTCGACTATAACGAGGTGCCCCATCCCTCGTCGTTAACGAGGTGTCCCGTCTCCCCCGACGGTAACACGGTCGCCCCCCCCGCGCCCGCCCCCCATCTCACATTGCAATGTCCGTTGACCCCGCGCGTTTCGTTATCTCCGTCCGTCGTCTGTGTCCCGGCTTGGACGGCGCTTGCCAATTTTGGCGTGAATCGGCCGCTCTAATTTCCATTGGCAAACAAACAACAAACAGAGAAGCCGGCGCGGCGTCGTCGCCCCGATCCGCTCGCGGTTCCCGGTGGCCGTGAACGCGGGCTGAGCCGTGGCGCCGTGGCGACGAGCGAGAGCGATCGGCATCGCGGCGACGATCGCGATGCCGATCGCGATGCCGCTCCGTGCGGTCGCCGCTGCCTCCCACTCCCTCCTCCGCGCTTGTCCCCCAGCGACGGATGGGAGCAATCATAAAATTTGTTACATTTTTTTACGAGATGGCTTCCTTTTGGTTGGGTTGTCTCGAGATTAAATCTGTTATTTTTGTAACTTTCCATCCCAGTTTTTATTTTTGTAACTAAAACACGACGGCCCTGAGGTTGAGCCGAGTGAGCGAAGCTATCGAGGGCACGTCTCTCACACCCGGTGTCCTCGTGACCTCTCTCACGATTGCCCGTGCAGCTACCTGATGAACCCGGACCACGTGGCGCACTCCATGTTTCCCTCTGTCCACCCAGCAGTTTAAGTGCATGTGTGCCACAGCTAGTCTCATATTTACTCGTTTGTGGTGGGGTAAAGTGTGGGTTACTCTCACCTCTTTAGAGACTCATTGGCCAGTGTGGAAGACCAGTGACTCTCCAGAGCTCCCTTTAATAGAGGCCCTTCCGCCAGCAGTAGCGTGAACGAGCGATTCCAGGGCTTTATGTTATTTAGTTTAACCAAGTGAGAATTCACGAGACCACGAGTAGTCTCATTCGCGCGAGCGACCTGGGTCGCAAGAGTGACCAAAAGGAATCAAACTAAATATCCAAAAGACCTTGCCGAGGCCCGGTTTAGTCCTGGCCTGGGGCTGCCGTGGGAATCTGGGCCCGAGCTCACGTGCTCGGTTTCATGAACTGGGCCGGCGCCACTTGTTGACCCGGCGGTTGTGGGAACGCGTTGCGTGTGTGTGTGCGTGCGTGCGTGTGTGTGTGCGTGTGTGCATGCGACGCTCCAGGCTAAGGGCATCTACGAGAAGGTGGGCGAGGCGACGGAGACGGCGCTCGTTTGCCTCGTGGAGAAGATGAACGTGTTCGGCACCGAGCTGAACGGGCTGAGCAAGGTGGAGCGAGCGAACACGTGCAACAACGTGAGGGCTCGCGCAACCGCCACTGCACACGGCACCACCGCCAGCGAACATTCATCACCACCACTGCGCACATCGCCGCCACCATCACACACGGCACCACCACCGCACACGGCACCACCACCGCACACACGTCATTACCACCACCATCATGCATGTTACACAAATCACCACTACACACAGGAGCACTGCCATCACACACATCACTACCGCACACATCACCACACCCATCGCACACATCACCACTCTGCCATCATCACTGTCACCACCATCACCGCCATCATCACCGCCACCATCACCACCACCATCACCACCACCACCACCACCAATATCACAATGCCAACCCACATTATTGCAATCATCACCATTACTGCCATCACCACTGTGGATAAAGGCCTCGGCACGCCGTGTCGGTCATGCGGGTTGCCTGACCATACTTCGCCACGCTGGTCTGTGCGGGTTGCCTGACCATACTTCACCACGCTGGTCCGTGCGGGTTGCCTGCTGTCGTCGGTTCTGAACCTCGTTACGCGTGTGCGTGTGTGTGCGGTGACGCCTCCAGGTTATCAAGCAGCTCATGAAGAAGGAGTTCACGCTTGAGTTTTCCCGCGACCGCAAGTCCATGTCGGTTTACTGCGTGCCGAGCGGCAGCACCGGCAAGTTTCAGGGCCCCCGCATGTTCGTCAAGGTGAGAGCCTTTGCCCCGCGGCGACGACACAAAGGAGATGGTTAACACGGGACAATTAATGTATCGATTCAGCTCCCTTTAACCCCACGTGCGATGCTGTACTGCCTGTCGCCGTCTCTCACTTACAATCTCTGCGGTGGCTCCCGCTGCCTCGTTCTGTCTATTTCGCTCGGAGGTGTCCGATATTGTAACAGTCGCGCGTGAACGCGGCACGTCACCACGTTGCCTTCGTTGGCGCGCCTCGCCGCCCACTCCTGACGGTGTTCCCTGCACCGTCTCCCCACAGGCGGCCACCGAGAGCTACGCCACCGACCGAATTCGTATCGGATCGTTCACGCTCGGCTGCTGCCACGACATTCGCCCCAACCGGTTGAGCGACACTCGGCTCATTCCTCCTAGCAAGGAAATCAATTAAATAAACACCCTCAGCTCCTCGAGGTGGATTAGCTTTCCGTCAACGTCACAGGAGGGCGGATCCTGTTATTTACATTTTTTTTATATCGCGCCTGACGAGGTGAACCGGTTAGACGATGTTCGTTCCGGGAGCAACGGCGTGTCGCTTCGTCGTCGCCACCCATCAGCGCTCGAGCGCGCACGTTGAGCCGCGCGTCGATGCGTCGATCTCTACCGGGTCACGTGGGATCGCACGTGTAGGTATCGATGGCTTGGGATTTATGCAGCTACGCGTGGCAATGCTTGACGTTGAGGCCGCTGGAGCGCGCGACACGGACGCTGCGGAGGAGAGGAAAGGCGCGACACAGGCAGAACACGAGACGCGGAGCGAGTGAATGAGACAGAGCGAAGGAGACGGGTGCCATCGAGGCAAACAATGCCAACAAGGAGTGAAAACGTAAAAATGAGGCGCACAGTAAATATGAGACTGTAAACGATACGAACAATAATTGATTCCTGGTTTGCATCGGGGCCTTTCAATCTTGGAAATTGATCGGATCACTGGGGTTGAATCGTGATTCCGCTGTCAGCCCATGTGACTCCCCACTCCACGATCACGTGACTCGACTCTGACCCCCCGCGCGGCTCCACTTGTAGCCGTGCGACTCCACTCTCGTGCCGCGTGACCCCCGCCGCCTGCGATCACGCGACGGCTCTCCGAGGCCGCGCCACTCCGCTCAAGGCCCACGTGACCCCGCGCCACCCCGCTCCGTGCGTGCGTGCGTGAGCAGGGCGCCCCCGAGGGCGTGGTGGAGCGCTGCAGCCACGTGCGCGTCGGCTCCACCAAGGTGCCGCTCACGGCTGGCGTGCGGCGCGAGATCCTGGCGACGATCCGCGAGTACGGCACGGGGCGCGACACGCTGCGCTGCCTGGCGCTCGCTACGCGCGACGCCCCCCCCAAACCCGAGGACATGAAGCTGGAGGACTCGACGCAATTCGCCAAGTATGAGGCAGGTTTGCACACGGGGGAGGACGTGAAACTATTTTCTTTTGTTTTTTACCAGGTAGGTTCCCAATGAGCTAAAGAGCTCTTCTTTTCAGAAGCGACCTGGCCACCAATTGGTAACTCAACTAAGTGGTTTACCATCGTGTGGAAATTCATCGCAGCCAAACACATGGAACGCGTGATTCTAAATTTGGAGGGGAAAACCGGAGGACCCGGAGAAAAATCCACGTGGCCACGGGGCGAAAATGCAAACTCCAAATATACAGGCGTCAGGGTTAACTACCTCGCCTGGTATACGATCTCCTGTATACCAGGCGAAGTAGTTAACATCTCACCACCACGAGGACACTTGCACCTGGCCATCTCAACATGCAAACACCTGGGTATCTAAAAACATTTCACATTTTTATGCCCAGTCACTTGGTCAGCTGTGCAAACATCCGCCTTTGGATCTGGGAATCCAGTCACATTCACATTGCAGTGATCTAGGCACAGATCCAATGCACCACCCTGATACCCCACAATGTAAAGCATTGACAAATATCTTGCCATCCCACTATGTAAAACATTCACAACCAGGACCCCTGCCAATCAGTCCCCCAGCCACCTGCCCACCCTGCCACCCTGCCTCTTTGCCCACTTACCACTAAGCCAATCTGCCATTCAGACACCCAGCCATCCAGCCACCATACCACCCTGCCTCTTTACCACTCTCCCACCATACCACCCTGCTACCAAGCTTTTCCGCCACTCAAATTTCCACCCTCCTCACTCTCTCTCGCACGTCACGTGAGTGACAAATCGCGACCGCCGACCCCTAACCCTTGACCCCCCCCCACCGGCCCCACCCCCGGACAGGTGGACCTGACGTTCGTGGGCGTCGTGGCGATGCTGGACCCCCCGCGGCGCGAGGTGTCGCACTCGATCGCGCTGTGCCGCGAGGCGGGCATCCGCGTCATGATGATCACCGGCGACAACAAGGGCACGGCCGTGGCAATCTGCCGCCGCATCGGCATCTTCGGCGAGGAGGAGAACGTGGAGGGGCGCGCCTACACGGGCCGCGAGTTCGACGACCTCCCGGTGGAGCAGCAGCGGCAGGCCGTGCAGCGCGCGTGCTGCTTTGCGCGTGTCGAACCGGCTCACAAGTCCAAGATCGTGCAGTACCTGCAGTCCTTCAACGAGATCACAGCGATGGTGCGACGCGCCCGATGGACGCCAATGCCGCCGCCGCCGCCGTCGCTGTAGCCGCCGCCGCCACCACCGCCGCCATCACTTGAGAAATTCTCGCTGGGGGCTGTTAAAAAAAAATAACGAATAGGCGTTACCCCGGTTAAAATGTTAAAGCACTAAATAGATGCCGATTATTACAAGGCGTCAAGTCGGCATTAACCACACATACTTGCGGTAAATCATGTAAACAAACACGTTTTGATATTGTATGCATGGTCGTTGAAAATGATTGGCCACCATCAGTTCGGCCTCCTCTGTGGTGTTTGAACAGCTTTATCCCTCCTGTGTTGTTGCCGGAAAAGCTAAAGCATGTTCTTTGTTCACCATCTTGATAGATATCGGGCCGGTGTTTTGATTGTTTTTGCTTTACTGTTAACCGCGTGAAACAAATCGGTCAAATAATGGTCACCGCTTTACCGCACGTACAGAAACGTCTCCAGCGACTGACGTGACGCGTCTCGCTGTTCGACCGCGAAATGGAGGGAGCTGCGGTGGCGGCGTTGTAATGGTTCGAATGCTGGACTTGCGATCCTCTTACCGCGTCGGTCGTGCCGGTTGTGTGACCATACCTCACCACGCTGGTCAGTGCGGGTTGGCGCAGGGTGGGAGCATGGGACCGGTTCGGCTATCTATCACCGATGTTGGACAAGGGTGAAAATCAAACTTAGGTCGCCGGGATCGTAACGCGGTGCGCTAACCAACTATGTTACCGTTCCCCACTCACTCACGCGCACGTGCGCACACGCAGACGGGCGACGGCGTGAACGACGCCCCAGCGCTCAAGAAGGCCGAGATCGGCATCGCCATGGGTTCCGGCACGGCCGTGGCCAAGTCGGCGTCCGAGATGGTGCTCGCCGACGACAACTTTGCGTCGATCGTGGCGGCTGTGGAGGAGGGGCGGGCCATCTACAACAACATGAAGCAGTTCATCCGCTACCTCATCTCCTCCAACGTGGGCGAGGTGGTGTGGTGAGCGGCACGCACGCACGCCCGCACGCCCACTCGCCCACTCGCCCCACCGGACACTCGCTCGCTGCACTCGCATGCCTGCCGCTTGCGCCTCCCGGCTGCCGCATGAGTACCGGATACACGCTCGCACGTACTTGGATGCCATAACAGATAGTCGCATACTCGTAATGGATGGACATGAGGCGCGGTGACGATGCGTCGATTCAACAATTGAGAGGCATTTGTTAGGCTCGCGGCACATGCATCCAATTGCGTGCGTTCGTGTGTGGGAGTAAATTATTCCGCGATTCATGCAAAGAAACGACGCCAACAAGACGGTGAAAACGAAACGAAAAATGTGAGATTCTCGGATTGAACGGCGACCGTGAATTTTGTTCACTCATGGGGTCGCTGGGGACGTGACACGTTACTCACCAGACACCACACTCGCAACACACCCGCTCCATCCTCTCTCTGTCCCCACAACCTTTACTCTCCATGACTCTCCAACTTCGTGACCTCTTGCTAATAAATCCCAGTTCTCACACCCTCTGCCTGACACCGTCTCCTCTTCTGACCCTCCACCTCCATGTGCTCGACCGCCCCTGACCACGCTCTCTCCCTCTGTGTTTCTGTGCGTCCCCCTTTGAACCCTTGAACCCCCGACCCCAGCATCTTCCTGACGGCCGCCCTGGGCTTCCCAGAGGCACTGATCCCCGTGCAGCTGCTGTGGGTGAACCTGGTGACGGACGGCCTCCCGGCTACGGCTCTTGGATTCAACCCTCCCGACCTGGACATCATGAACAGGCCTCCTCGCAGCCCCAAGGAGGGCCTCATCAGCGGCTGGCTCTTCTTCAGATACATGGCCATCGGAGGTCAGAGGTCGCATGCACATGCCACCACTATTGGCAACTACTCGCGCCACCTGAGACCACCGGTGTCGATAGATAGCATGTTTATTTATTTATCTACCATCCTGCCAAGGTGGCCGAGCGTCATGGCGAGCGGCTCGCAATTGTAAGGTTACGAATTAAAATCCTGATTGGTAGGGTTGACTCGGCTCATCATTCCTCCAGGGTCGATAACAATAGTACCACGTTTTGGGGAAGTCAAAGGCAGTTTTGCTCTGAATAAACTCGCCCCTGTCACGCGAATGTGGAATTTTCGAAACTCGCTCGGGGCTGTAAATTTGAGATGAGCGCTGCCTCTGATTATTTGAGCAGGGAATCAACTTTTGACCCTAGGATAACAAAAGATGAGCCGACAACAACAAGCCTCCTTCACATTTTTGTCCCTCCACGTAACGGTATCTCAGGGTGATTTCCATAAATTGTGCGGGAATGCCCAACACTTATAATCGATCAAATCCGAGAACCTCCGGCGCCGCTGCCAAATTCGCTCGCAAGCAAAAACAATAACGATGCCTCCTCCTCCTCCTCTCGCTTGATTTCTCACTGAATATGTTCTGGGTCCCTGGTAGACCAGCGTGGGTGGCACGTGACTTATGTACAGGCACAGCGAGAGGCATATACTGGATGTTGTGTGCCAGATTAAAAAAAAAGTAATCTCTGCTCCTCCTGCCACTCTGGTTGTGTCCCGGTGGCACTTTGGTGAGATCACCACGACAGGTGCTGAGAGTATTTGACTTGACTCGTCATCGGCATCACGATCATCATCCCTCTGTGGTTCACAAATTGAGCAGCGCTTTGTGGGAAGACGGTAGTGGGTTTACCACGACGGGATAAACCCTTGCCATGCGAATGTGGAATTACCAGCACTGCCTTGGCACTGACAAAGTGCCTCCCAGCCGCGTGCTGGTTGGGGTGGAGAGACGGCCTCACCCCCGGCCTTTCCCGTGCGCTCCGGCTCTGTGCGCAAAACATCCAGCAAGGGGCGACATTTCCTCAGCGTGGCTTCGCGCGAGGCGGTTGTCCGACACCGTTTGACAATCGGTTCAGGTTCTACCCTGCGTCCGGCCCGCGGGCCGTATGAGGCCCACGAAATCATTTGGTGTGGCCCTGCCAAGGCAACCGCAGGCGGGACTCGAAATTCAATAAATCTAGGAGAGCAAACCTGGAAAAGCAGTTGCGAGTAGCAGCAACATCGTCAATACCAGCTAACATCATCACACGCCTCACCAAAGAGAAGCAGTTCCAGCCATCGCATTAGGGGTGAGTTAATTAAATGTTTGACCAAATATAACAGGCTGACTTTTAAGTTGATAATTTTGTATGGCCCGCGAATGATGTTATAAATATCCAAATGGCCCTCGGCAGAGTAAAGGTTGCCCCACCCCTGCCCTGCAGCGATCCCTCGATTACCGCGATTGTCAACGCGTTCCTCAAAAGCGCCGCGTCTGCCGAACACCGCGTGAAGCGAGGAATTGCAGATGAAGAATCACACGCGCACGATAAAAAAAAATCAGCCTGCAGTCACCCCATGGCAGGATAAATGAACCGAGATGAGGGTACCCCGCCACGTACCACATCACTGATGACGGTGACTGTGATGGTGTCACTTATGATGGTGGTGGCGGTGGTGGTGAGACTGCCCATGACGACGACGATGTGACTGGCCACGGTGATGTGATGATGGTAACCGCCGTGGCGATGGTAACCGTGGCGATGGTAACCGTGGCGATGGTAACCGTGACGATGGTAACCGTGGCGATGGTGCTTGCAGTGTACGTGGGGTTCGCGACGGTGGGCGCCGCCGCCTGGTGGTTCCTGATTGCCGACGATGGGCCGCAGCTCTCCTTCTACCAGCTGGCGAGTCCCCCCCACCAACCCCCCCCCACCAACGCCCCCCACCAACGCCCCTCACAAACCCCCCCCACCAACCCCCCCCCACCAACCCCCCCCCCCACCAACCCCCCCACCAACCCCCCCCCACCAACCCCCCCCCCCCCACCAACCCCCCCCACCAACGCCCCCCACCAACGGCCCCCACCAACCCCCCCCCACCAACCCCCCCACCAACCTCCCCACCAACCCCCCCCCCCCACCAACCCACCCCACCAATCCCCCCCCACTGACCCCTCCCCCCCACCAACCCCGAGTGAGTCGTGCCTTCCTAGGTGCTCACTCACAGCACTTGCCCCAGCAGCCTGTTAAGGCTATACGGGGGGGGTCTTTGTTTTTGTGCGTGCGTGTGTGCGTGCGTGCGTGCGTCTGTGTGTGCGTGCGTGTGTGTGTGTCTGTGTGTTCGTGTGTGTGTGTGTCTGTGTATGCGTGTGTGTGCGTGTCTGTGTGTGTGTGTGTGCGTCCGTCTGTGTGCGTGTGTCTGTGTGTGCGTGTGTGCGTGTGTGTGTGCGTGTGTGTGCGTATGTGTGTGCGTGTGTGCGTGTGTCTGTGTGTGTGTGCGTCTGTGTGTGCGTGCGTCTGTGTGCGTGTGTCTGTGTGCGTGCGTGCGTCCTCACGTCCGTGCGGTGCGTGCAGAGCCACTTCACCCAGTGCCGCGTGGAGGACCCGCTGTTCGAGAGCGTGGGGAGCTGCGAGATCTTCGACTCTCCCATCCCCATGACGATGGCGCTGTCCGTGCTCGTCACCATCGAGATGTGCAATGCCCTCAACAGGTGCCACGTGCACCCCACTGCCCAGTGAACAAAGATCGCCCCGTGTAGCCTTAACAGACTGTTGGGGCAAGTGCTCTTAGCGAGTAGCAACCTATGTAGTCCGGCACGGTACACGAGGGGGTGGGTGGCCAGCACCACGCCCGGCCGCCTTTGTCTCCCGAGTGGCAATGTTTACACACCGCACCAGGTACTCATTTGAGGTTAAGTCGACCTAGGGGAAACCAGGACCGGTTCAGATAATCGTCACCGGTGTTGGCCGTGAACGGGAATCGAACCCGGGTCGCCGGGTTCATTAGCGTAGCGAGCTAACCGCTGCGCCACCGCTCCCCTAAAATGTTGGTGCATACCACATGCACCACACGCACCGCTACTCACTACAGACACAGCACTCACCACTCACTGTCGCCCCCCCCTCACCCACCACGTGCAGCCTGTCTGAGAACCAGTCCCTGCTGCGCATGCCACCCTGGGTGAACGTGTGGCTGCTGGGGGCCATCGGCCTCTCCATGTCGCTGCATTTCCTCATCATGTACGTGGGACCGCTGCCGGTACGAGCACGCAAACACACGCACACATGCACACACACGCACACATGCACACACACACATGCACACACACACACACACATGCACACACACACACGCACACATGCACACACACACACACACGCACACATGCACACACACACATGCACACACACACGCACGCACACACATGCACACACATGCACACACGCACGCACACATGCACACGCACATGCACACGCACACACACACACATGCACGCACACACATGCACACACACACGCACGCACACACACATGCACGCACACACACACATGCACGCACACACACACATGCACGCACACATGCACGCACACATGCACGCACACATGCACACACACACATGCACACACACGCATGCACACACATGCACACATGCACACACACACATACATGCACACACACGCATGCACAGACACACACATGAACGCACACGCACACATGCACACACAGCCAGCGACACACATAGCAATACATAGAGCGACACATAGGAATCTACATACAACAACAACCGCCATTCGCCACTAAGTGGCGGTGATGTCACCACGGCGCTTGTGCCAGGCTATGTGCACCTTAAGGCCTTAATGTGCCTTAATCTACATGTACACAGCGACATACACACGCACACAGAAGATCTACATACATAATCTGATATACAACAACCGCCATTCGCCACTAAGTGGCGGTGACGTCACCACGACGCTTGTGCCAGGCCATGTGCACCTTGAGGCCACGTGAAGTGTCGAACACCCGCTAGCAGGAAGTCACAGGACAAACCCAGGTGCCACGGGTCGACTGACTTGAGATGGCTGGCTGATGCACCACCTGTGCCCCCTACTGTGCCAACCTGCTGTGCTTTAGCCACCCAGCGCTCCGCTCATTGTTGTGAGCGTCGCTCCTCCGCCCTCCGTTGTTGTTGGAGGGTGACTACCTCCAACTGCCCAGTAGCATCTGCTGGTACCAGTCATCGGCAAGTCCACTCAGCTCCACGTCCTCCTGTACCACATAACTCCATCTCTTCTCTAGCCCGTGCCTTGCCCGTTTAGCCCCCTCGATCCGGCCGAACAAAAGCTGTTTCAGCATGCGGTGGCTGGGCATGCGGGCTACATGACCCAGCCATCGCAGCCTTGCCTGCCGGAGGAGCTCACCGATGGGACCCTGCCCAGATCTTTCAAGGATTTGTGAGCTCCTCACACAATCCAGCCTGGTTAAACCCAGGATGGATTGTAGGCAGGCTAGCCTAAATGTTTCTAACCGGCGAAGATGTTCCATTAGGGGGGTCCACGTTTTGCAAGTTGTAGAGAAGGGAGGGAATGACCGTGGCCGAGAAGACCTGAAGCTTAGTGCGGAGCGACAGACCAGGTAGCTTCCACACAGCGTTACGCAACCTATGAAATTATATTGCCGCTCGACTGATTCGGAGTGAGACCTCTGCTGTTAAACTGGAACCGGTCATAAGCACACTGCCCAGGTATGGGAAACTCTCCACTCTCTCCACAACTGCCCCATCACCGATTGGGAGTTGTGGGGGTGGAGTGTCCGATGGTACAAAATACCCAGGCAGGTGCTTAGTTTTGGTGGGGCTGATGGTAAGGCCCCATCTCTTAGTGGCACGCTCCAGTCTCAGCAGCAGCATCTCCAACTCCTCCTCTGAATGAGCAGCTATTACCAAATCATCGGCATACATAACGTGGTTGAGCAATAAGGAGCCATCCCTTGACCGCACCCGGGCATCGATCAGCCTCCCATTATATCTGTACCATATGGAGATTCCCCTGGTACAGCTAATGAAGGCTTCATGAACTACGTGGTCAAAATAGATGTTAAATATGTGGGAGCCAGAGGACATCTCTGTCGCACCCCAAGGTGTACAGGGAATGGCTCTGACTCCCGGCCACGTAGTTTTACCCGGGCCCGCTCACCATCATGAAGGTCCTTAATGATCGTGAGCAGAGGGTCAGGGACTCCAAAAGCACGAAGAACAACCCAGAGCCCAGGCCTACTGATGGTATCATAGGCCTTGACCAGGTCAATAAAGCAGAGATGTAGGTCTTGCTGGAATTCCCTACACCTCTGCTGTAGCAGACGGACAGAAAATATGGCATCTGTGAAGGACCGCCCTTTCCTGAAACTGCATTGGGGCTCCGCAAGCCTCTCCTCAGCGTGCCTGGCAAGACGATGTTGAATAATCCTTGCCAGGACCTTTCCCGGCACACTGAGGAGTGAGATGCCCCTGTAGTTGTTACAGTCTGTGCTGTCCCCCTTCTTAAAGAGGGGGACCACTAGGGCATCCTTCCAATCATGCGGAACCCGTCCAGTGGTCCAGACTGTTGTTTTGATGTCATATACGGCAGTCTGTGCACAAACGCCACCCTCTCTCAGCATTTAACTTGGGAGATCATCTCTGTCCGCTCCCTTTCCTGGTCTCAGACTCTGGATCGCCTTCAGTACTTCCTCAATAGATGGCACCTCAGCCAGCCACTCACAGGGGGTGACTTCTTCCAATATGTGAGGCACCGCAGCCTCAGCAGGGTCATCCCCACTTTGTCTGCAAACCTGTTCCTGGGGGTCAGAGATTGGATCACCATTTTTTCCCCTAATGATGGAAATGGGTGTGGCGCTGCAGGTTACTTTTTTTAATGGAGTTAAATAGAGATTTGTGATTGCGGGCCACTGAGGCAGACTCCATCTCCTTAGCAACCCGCGACCACCACCCATCCTTGCAGCGCCTCATGGCTCTCCGAACCTTCGAGTGAAGGCTGCGGTAAGCCTCCTCATTCTCTGACGTGGGATTCTGCAGCCGATGACAGTGGGCCTGTCGCTTCTTCTCAACTATCCTGAACACCTCCTCTGTCAGCCAGGGTCTCTGGGGAGGTCTGGACCGCGTACCCAAAGCAGCCAATGCAGCTGCATGAGTGACAGTCCTAAACCTCGCCAATTTCCCCTCGACATCAGGAGGGGTGGGGGACGATGCCAACCCCATTATCAAGCGATGATGAAATTCTCGCTTGCAACTTTCATCAGATAACTGAGACCAGGCCACTTTAGGTTGGAATGGGGTCCTGGGTGTACACCCACCACCGGAGCGGAAGAAGGGCAGGCGCATCTTACAGATGACAAGTCGATGGTCAGCTCCACGGTAGGTCCTAGTGTCAAGGACATGGGCTCGCATCCGCTGGTCCGTCACTATGTAATCCAGCAGATGTTCTTGCTTGGACCCGGCATGCATCTATGATGTTGTGTGGATGCGTCGATGCCGGAACAGCGTGTTGGTAATTACAAGCCCATGGGCTGCACAAAAATCTAGCAGCCTCCTACCGTTGTTATTGAGCTGATCTGGCCCATGCCCTCCAATCACTCCAGACCAGGTGCCAGCATCATGACCAACTCGGGCATTGAAGTCACCCAACAAGATGACTCTATCCTGAGGGGCCACTTTAGCCAGCACCTGTGACAGGAGGTCATAGAAGGCATCTGACTGATCGGCTTTGCCTGCATCCCTCCACGGATGTTCGTCTTTGGTGGGGGCATTAGTAACCACGACCACCACTCCTCGCCTCCGGTTGATAGGAAGGCGAGCCCAAAGTAGCCTGGGGCTTACAGCTTCCCACACCTCAACGCCACGCTCCCACGCACCCTTCATTCTTTTGTTCAAAAGAAGAGCCACACCCTGTCGTTTGGCAGTCTGCTGCCGCGAGTAGAGGACTGTCCACCACTCATGGTGGCAGGAGCCAGAACTGGTCCACCGGATCTCCTGAATGCCACAGAGATCCAGGCGGTACCAGTCCAGCTCCCGACAGAGGAGTGGCAGCCTCTCCTCCGCAGTGAACGTTCGAACATTCCACGTGGCCACACGAAGTGGCTTTTCGTTGTTTCTGGAGGAGCCCCGAGGGTAGCGATTCAATCTCCTGGCTCTGCCAATTGGGGTTTGGCCAGGAGACATCATAGACGCCTGTCCCCCTGGGGCCTCCGGCACAAGCTTATTAGTTAGATATTTTAGACGTGGTTTAGTGGTAAATTTTTGAAAGTGGAGGGGTTACCAGCCCCTCACACCCGTCCAGAGCCCCCGTTTAGCCCCTGTGGTGGTCACAGACGCCAAGAGGGGAGGAGCCAATCGGAATTGGCCCTCCCCCCACAGCACTGTCCACAACAGAGTTGCCCGTCTGGCACCGCAAGGAGGTAGGGGGTTGTTTTGCCGGACAACCTGATATACACACATGCATGCACACACACACGCAGCGATCTACATACAGCGATACACACACACAGAAAACACACACACACAACGACATGCACCCCGAGCAACAAGAACAACAATTTCTTTGGTAAGAATAATAATAATAACAGAAGCTATTAGCCACTAAGTGGTCGTAACGTCACCACAGCACTTATGCCAGAGTACACTGTAGACACACGGGGCTCTTCAGCCAGCAGTGGCACGATCAGGAATTCTGCCCATCCCGCCATGCTCTCAACAACAAACAAAAAACGCCTCTTCGGCACCACCATCATCATCATCAGCCACTGTCTATCCACTGCTGGATGAAGCCCTCGTCATGCTCACCATGGCTGTCCTCCCCCCACCATCCCTGCAGCTGGTGTTCCAGGTGCGGCCCCTCACCCTGACCCAGTGGGCCATGGTGCTCAAGATCTCGCTGCCCGTGCTGCTCCTCGACGAATCGATGAAGTTCGTCGCGAGGAACTTCCTGGAGCGTGAGTTTGCTCGGCCGCCCCGCGCGCCCCCTCGCTCTGACCCCTGACCTATGACGGCACCCGTTTTTTTTTCTTCCGTTTGAAGGTTTCAAACGCAAAAGAAAAATAGGTGGGGTGCTTTTCTCGTCGAGTGCCCAGGCCGTGCGCTGCCGCGCCGCCTGACGCCCATTTGAAGCGCCGTTGATGAGCATTAAAATAAAAATATCAAATCGCCGACAGCTGTTCAGTCGTAGTGCCAATATGGCAACGACGTTCTGTTGTTGTACGTCCGGTTGATGGTAGATGATCCGTGGGCAGATTTATCTGGGTCGTTGATGAGACATTCTTGTGCGCTGGTTTCATTGTTGGCTGCTCCTCACTCGCCGAGGGTCAGCGACTCGGTAACCCCCGTTTTACACATGTAAACAATTTGTAGTTAAACGCACTAGTTTACTTATTTTACATTTATCCATGATTTTTATTTTATCCTGATCACTCATTCTCTCATTTACGCAGGTAATGGAGAACTCGCCGAATAAATAGCGGCGTAACGATGGCGTAACAATGCATCGTTTGATCCATTCACATCGGATTGTTAAGCACCGCGTAGAGGCTGCGTGTCCACGTCTGCGGAGCCATAAAGTGAGGGTTATTTTTTGCTCCTAAAAAAACCCTGTTTTTTTTTTAAATCTCGTTTCAGCTCCATCGCCCATGAAAGACGCAAGCAAGTAGACAGCAGCGAGGAGGAGCGAGGACCGAGGCTGGCGGCGCGGGCGGACGCCGTCCAAGCGAGCGAGTGTGGCGTTGCTTTTTGTGTTATTTTTGTTTTTTGCTCTGGGGTGGAAAATGCTTTCGGTTGGGTTTGGCGACGCCGCGGCAGTGTCGCCGTGCCACCGCACGGGATTGTGGACTGACCCCGGGGCGTGGGTCACGTGGCAAGGAAATATTCCTCGGGGTTTTTGTGATCTTAGCAAATGTCTCCGGTTAATTTTAGGTTTCAAAGTTTTAAATGGCTCGCCTCAAGCTGAGAACAAAATATGTTTTTCTCTAAGTTTGACCGCCCTCTCCCCACCAGCGCCAACTGTTTGGGTGGATACTCACCTGTGATTGGAGTTTTCATAAAATTCGTTTCCCAGTCACCATGGAAACTCTTTCGCGCCACCAAACTAAAATTTGTCCCCAGCGCGAAACCGTGGGCGAGTCGACGCGGTGGGGGCGGAGGAGCAGGGAGTGACACGACGAGATAGGGAGCCGACGATGGCGGAGCAGAGCGTACGGTGCAAAAAAAGTTCAACCGCACGTGCGTACGGTTTGGCTTGCGTGGGTCCTGCGAGGAGCCGCGTTGAGCCCACCGTGAAAAGGAAAGTGACTCGAGTTCACATGGCTTCGCCACCTCCCACCCAGATCCTCGCGCTGCGTCTCAGTAGTGCTGATATTTGTTTGTGCATTCCTCCAGCGAGAACACGGCCTTTTAGCGTCACGCCTCGTCAACTCGCGCGTACCGTTGGTCGCTCGCGTGTACGTTGCGCGATGCGCGTATAAATTGTGTAACGACCACGGCGTTTACGAAACGTCTGCCGGATGTGCCAAAGCAAATGAAGACCGCATTCCAATTTCGCCCTTAACATCGATGCAAAACGCAGGCCACTCCCAGGTTTTGTTTTCTAAATCAATATCGGGCCCAAATTGCATCGGTGCATATTTACATTCACAGGTGTATGCTTGCATGATTTACATTCGCAGGTGTATGCTTGCATGATTTACATTCGCACGTGTATGCTTGCATGATGCAGTAATGAAATTCCTATTTGGCAGTGCTACTTCATTACGCGAATGAAGATGCTATCGTTTATTTATTTAAATAAGCGGTGGGGGTCGCGTCGAGGCCCTTCCAGCAGAGCCGTGGCTGTCGGGGTTCGACTCCCTGTGGCAGGACCTCGGAGCTCACACAGCCAGTGAATGCCCTTGGTCATCACCGGGTGAGAGCCCAATTGAGGTGCTTGTTTGTGCCTTCAGCAATGGAGAGCTGAGTACAGGCAGCCAGATCCCGAAGGAGGGCCGTGTGTTTTGATTGAAATGGTGGTTGACCTTTGGGGACCCTTGGCTTACAATTGATACAAAGTGGTTAACCTTGGTGATGATAGTAATTGACCCCTAGGGACCCAGGGGTGATGACTGATAACACTTGTTGTAGTTGGTGATAATGGTTGTTGACCTTTATGGACCAATGGATGATAGATTACAGTGGTTGACGTCTGTTAGCACGGGAGCGTGCGTGCGTAGCGAGAAGAACACTTAGCAGCGTGAATACTTTGTTTTGTGTTTGTTCGCCATTGGTAAAACGTGTGTGTTCTTTTTTTAAAGAATGGAACTTTATACAGCGCTTTATAAACATGTTTGCGGCGTTGATTCGGTGAAAACAGAAACAGGTGACAGGAGGTGTTCAACGGACACGGAGATGGCACCACGGGAGTGGCAGCCGACGGTGTCGCCAGTAGTTATTAGGCAAAGGTCGCGGGGGGGGCTGCACACCACTACAACAGTTGGCAAACGTTAAGGCCTAGTTCTACCACATTGTATCAGGGCAGCGGTGGCGGCAGTGGCACTGCTGTACCTGTGCACCCTGCTCCAATGTCAAGGAGGGGCAAATACACCCCCGCCCCCGCCCTGTGGCCCTGTGCCCCTGCGGTGAAGCTATTCGGAGTACGTTTGGTTTTTACCTGCGATGTTCTTAATTGGATTAAACCAAGCACCAACATTGCCCCCACTCGCATGCCGCCCCCACCCCCGGGGCCCCATGGCCCGCAGTGACCAAGACGCCGAGCTACAACGAGGCAGAGAAATTCTACCCGGGGGTGGGTGGGGGAAAGAGGAGCCCCCCCCTCCCCAATTCATCGCTTGCAGCAGGGCCCACGCCACCCACACGTTGTGCCACCGCCTGTGCCACCACCTGTGCCACCGCCTGTGCCCCCCATCCCGCCACGCGTGGTGATGGTTCTGTACCGTGAGTCCGTTCCGTTCGCGCGGGGGGTGGGGGGCTCCTCTTGGTGCGAGAAGGGAACCGCGTGCGAGCGGCGCGGTTTTCGTTTTTTAAAATGTTTCGTTTTAGACTTTTTTTGTTCGTTTGTTAATTTAATCCTGGGATAAAAAATATATATAATAAAAAAAAACCGTGTCCTACCCGGAGGCTCGCACGCTGCTTGTCTTGGTGTCTTCCCCCCCCCCCCCCCCTCGGCACTCCGTGGTCGCCGCCGCGGTGGTGAAAATAGCGTCTCGGGAGAGAACTGCCGCTGTCAATCACAACTGGGTTTCGAGACTCAAGGGGCACGGTGATGGGTGTGATCGTGGGTGCGACACACAACTATTTATGGTGGAATGGTGGCAGATCACGCCCCCCCAATCCTCTCCCTCCCCTACACGGCGATTGTCAAACCCCGTATGCAGGGCCGGATTAAGATTGTGTAGGCGTTTGGGCTACAGGGTACTGTGAGCCCACCCCCCCAGTAATATTTTCAAAAGGAAAACAAAGTTAAAGAAAAATCAAATTTACAACAAATCAAATTCAGCATTCACAAATTAAACAACTTTTCACTTCATCTCTGGAGGCCCTCCAGCTAGAGGAGGCCCCTGGGCTTCAGCCCCTAAAGCCCCCGTGCCTTAATTCCGGCCCTGCCCGTAAGCCACGCGGCCACCTCTTGACGCCTCATTTAATGAGCTGCTCCTATTGCCGGTACGTCGGCGGTAGGAGGTGTGTGGTGTTCACCCCAGGGAACGTGGCGCAGCCTCTAAAGTCGGTAACAAAAGCACCACGAATGCTCCAAGTCCTCTTCGGATCTCGGAAGCTAAGCAACGGTTGATCCTGACCAGCCGTTGGATCGGAGATTGCCTCCGAGTATCAGCTGGGATTTCGCAGTGGCTAGATGTAATCTCTCACTAGTCTGGTACGCGGTAGGACGCCAGGCTCAATCCCGACTGGCGATGCGTGGATATTTGGAGGTTGGATGTTCTCCCCGTAGTCGCGTGGATTTTTCTCTCGGTTCCTGCGGGTTTGCACTCCACATTTGGAAACATGCGTTGAGATTATTTGGCTGCTACTATATATTCCCACGTGTAAATGTGTAATGAATGATATAGGCCACTTCGACGAGCTATCATCACGTGTGGCCAGGTCGCCTCTGAAAAAGAGCGACCAGCTAAGTGGGCTTTACCTGGTAAGATAACAGTTTAGGTTTAGTTGATATACCTCTCTGAAGGTGTTTAAAGTTGTACTGCGTGTTGTTTGGTTACAATGTCTGACGTCTCTCTCCGTCTGCTGGGAGCTGCTGGGTGATTCTATACAGTTGTCGACGAAGCTCCCAGCACGTGGAGCGGAACGTCGGACATCGTGCCCAACGACACGCGGTACGCCCCGAAAGCACATTGAAGGGCTAGTACTCGGTGTTGGGCCCTCTTGGCAATGAGTCTTGATACCTGAGCATCTTGTGGGTTAATGAAGAACACGGCTATCACGAGCAAACACTTCCACGTGGAACAATGGTGTGTGTGTGGGGGGGGGTATCTCAGATCCTGGCCCCACTACACAGGGGTGGGGCCCTGTAGTGTGCCTTTGCTTACCGTGGGGGGCAAATAACGACCCAGTGTGGGAGTTAGGGCGGTGGTGGTGGGGGGGGGCTCGGCCCTCCTACGACGCTACGATGCTGGGGGGGGGGGGGTGGAAGAGAGGGGGCACCAGATGTTATCTCGATCAGGCGAGCCACGAGGGAGCACCCTGCAGACCCCCGCCCCTCCTCTAACTCCTTCGGGTCGCGCTGCGCCCTTCAGGCCTTATGGGGATAAAAAGGCGCCCGTTGCTAAACATAGGCGGGGAAGACACCGGCGCCCAGGGCTTTATAACCGCGCTGCTCGGGCCAGATCCTTCGACCCGCCCTGTCCTCTCTGTCCCCAAGTTCCTCCTGTCAGCTCCCGGACTCTCCCGGCCTCAACCGCAGCAGAGATGGTGAGTGACGGCGCCTGCACCCTGCACGCGCACCCTGCATCCGAGTCGCACAAACCGAAGCTCACCGTCCGATTGTCAACCATGCGAATATCATCATCCGAAAGCTCAACCTGTGAAGCTGAATTTCATTTTAATGTTGCCATCTGAAGCACTCCATCTGAAGCTGCCCATACGAAATTCACGATCCGCGCTCCTGCATCTTAACCTCACAAGTCACGTACGCTCTGCACGGAATAACATCGACCCGTGCTCTCCCATCGTCACGGCTGCACTGTGTGACCTGCACACTTTCTCCAGACCTGTTCATTCGTTCAATCTGAGTTACGTTCACCTACACACACCGATGTTCACATCTACCCGCACTATCCAATCTCATACGCACCGCACTCCAAGCACACGCACACACACAATCACATGCATACACTCCGAATCATACACGTAATTACGTACACTCAACTCACACACACAATAATATACACACACACAATTAAGATTCACGCATGACTTGAACTTCCCAAACACACACGATCCTCTTGCAAATGTTCTAAAAACGCACACACACGCTCACCCAAACCCACACGCCCCCGCCCCCCCCACTCGCAATCATTAATTCATCCTGATTTCTACCCAACTAACACACACATACTCCATCAGTCATCTAAAAATAATCGTTTCCACCCGTCCACTTGTCACCAAATCCACTGTGGGACATGATGAGACACGGGGCATGAGCCACAGGGACATGAAATATGAGACAGGAAGACACGGGGACATGGGAGTACGGGACACTGGAGAGGAGAACACGGGACGAGACATGGTAACATAAGATATGGGACACAGGAACATGGAACTTGAGACAGGATGACATGGGAGACAGCGACATGGCACATGAGACACAAGGACATTGAACATGAGACACCGGGACATGAGACACAGATACCTGGATCATGAGACAGAGGAACATGGACAAGGGGACATGGGGACACGGTTGCGCCTCGCTAAGCCGACCCCGTGACCTCCCAGGCACCGAAGCGCGCAAAGAAGAAGATGGACAGCTCCAACGTGTTCTCCATGTTTGACCAGACGCAGATCCAGGAGTTCAAGGAGGCGAGTGACGCACACTCACAACACGCACTCACAAAGACCAAGATCCCACCCCCGCACCCCCATAGCCTTCACAGGCTTTTGGGGCAAGTGCTGTTAGCGAGCGCCTATTAAGGAACCGGAAAACGAGGAGGTGGGTGGTTAGCACCACGCCTGGTGGCCTTTGTGTCAAAGGTTCTTGCTTGCAGCATTTGTCCCCAACAGTCTGTTGAAGGCTACACGGAAGATTCGTCTTCTGTGTGTGTGTGGTCGTAAAATACATGTTCACGTATGAATACATTATTTTATGCTTCTGCTTTAGCAGTGGTGCACACGCACAAAAAAACAACTCAGCACATTCGTCTATAACACCGTGGCCTTAGACAAGAAACAGACTAAAAATAGGCGACGTTTCGTGCAACGACCCTTATTCAGCAGCACGTACATAAAGAGCTTAAATACTGAAGCGTGGATACGAGGTGGAGACTCCACTTCACGCCAGGGGGCCCGGTGAGAATCACACTTCCTGATGAACTGCTTTTAAAAAATGGCATGTGAAAACAGTGACCTATTAGTAGCTGTTGAGTAACGAGACAAACCCTTCGGCGGAGAGATCCATGCCATTGTTAAGGAATTTCATGACCGGGCTGCCTGCCTGATATTTGGGAGTGGCGTGGTGCTCCTCTGAATGGGCGATGTGCGGGGCGGGGGGAGGCTGGAGGGGGTTGGGGGGGGCGAGAGAGAACAGAGGGAGCTGGGGACCTGTAACTGGATAGGGGACAGAGGAGGGAGCAGGGGGGATGGAGCAGGGACGGTGGAAAGTGAATAGGGAGACGAGAAGGGAGGAAAATAATCTGGGAGTAGGGAACAAGAGGTGAAAATGGGAGAGACGAGAGGGAGATGGGGGACCTGGGAGAGAGGAGGGGAAGGAGCGGAAGAGACGAGGGGAGCTGCAAACCTGGGAGAAATTCGGAGACCTGGGGGAGGGAACAGGTGAACCGTGCACGACATAGAACACCTGAGAAATATCTGTACAATAGGCGATGTGTCAGGCCTTTCTTCATAACAAATCGATCAATGTCGCCTTTGAATTTTTTAAAGGCAGTGTTATTGATTAATGTGTCGAGTTTTGTTGTTATTATTTGTGCACCACTGCCCAACGCAGTGTCGTCAAACAATGCGTTTGAGAAGGAGCAATGTTTTTTTCTGAGAGGGAGCAGCCGAAATAACATGGGGGGTGGCATGGGACACCGGGGAGCGAGGGACCTGCGGAACTGGGGGGGGGGGGGGGTACGTGAGGACAGAGGCAGCCATCTAGGGTGGGGGTTTGGAGGACGCTGGAACGTCACCCTCACCCACCTAACCCGCTGTGAGCCCCGGGGTCTCGTGGGCTCTGTGACAAAAAAGGGCCCCTCGGTGGTGGTCACGGGTACGTGGTGGGGGGGGGTTGTCTTAGGAGACACACCCTGTGCCTCGATCCCCCGCGTCTGTAAGGGGATACTGGGGCCCCCGAGACCCCTGTTCATAACACTCAGAGCCACCCCCTCCGTGCGCTGGGGTCTGGAATTCGCTCAACCCCCGATCACGCCCCTCTCTACCGAGCTTGGTTTTAGAGGAAGAATTTGATGAGGTGGCCGTAAGGCTCAGGGGGTCAGAGTCACTCAGCTGACCCCGCTGAGATCACTTGCACGCGATTTATAATGAAATGTGAAGGCGAGTCGCTGAGAACAGGCACCAAGACCCACATCGTTGTGGCCAGCAACAAAGAGCACTGCCAAAGTTGCAGTCAATAGGAGTGTAGCGCGTTTGCTTGAAATGAGCAAGGGTGTAAGAACTTGGGAAAGACGACTACGACGGGAGGAGGGAGTTCCAAAGTGGGGCAGTGCGAGGGAAGAATCAGACAGAGAAGCGTCGTGGCCTGTAGTGTGGTGAGTGGGTCGGTGAGTGGGTGGATGAGTGGGTGGATGAGTGAGTGGGCGTGTTGTTGTAGCCTCCAGTGTGGTGGTTGAACACAGGTATGGATGAGACGACAAAAAAATGTTTGCTCGACAGAGTCCTCAACATGGGTAGGGGGAGTCAATGAGTGAAGTTCACAGGGACAT